GTTAAACAAACAGCATGTCTCCCCATAAACCTTGGCTCTCATCCCCCTGCTTTATTTTTATCCATGAGGATGCTTTTGTTGCTGCTTTTACTTTTACTGCTTTGCAAAGGCTGTTCCACATTTCCCTGCTGCTCCAGCAGAATACCCAGATGTAAAACAGTCAGGAAAAAAACACTGATCTGTCTTGTATCATGCCAGGTTGGAGAGAGCTTTGGGTGACATGGTCTAGTGGAAGGTGTGCCTTGGCAGAGGGGTTGGAACTAGATGACCTTTAAGGTCCTTTCCAGCCCTAACTATTCTATGATTCTATGCAACACTCACCCTGGCAGACCCAGCTAAAAAACTGGAGAACGGTCAGTAGAATTCCAAGTTACCCAAGACGTAAGGCGCAAACTAAAGCTTGGCTCCCCCTTCTGCACAGCAGAATTCATCCCTGTTCCATCACGATTTACCCCGAGTGCGGCTTTGACCTGAAAAGTGACCTTTTAAGGAGAGCTGCTTCTTGATCGGCAGATCTGGTCCCTGCTGTGTGAACTGTCAGTTTTTAGGCTGTTTCCCAGAGAAACAAGCCTTATGTAGCCATGCACTGTGAGTGCCTGTGCTCATGTACGCTCAATCTGTCAGCTCGCTTCAACCAGGGTCAGAGCATGGATCAGAGATAAACATCCCTAAATAAAGTCCCCTGAAGTCAGAGCTTAGAGAAGGAACTGGCCTTTCCATGCAGCCTCTGTGAGCTGCAGCTTTACCCCAAGAGTATTTGCACCAAGTGTGAGATGGGAAATGGTACACTGAGCCCCTGACACCAATCCACTTGAACCAGGGGCAACCTGAGGTGGTGCTCACCATCTTCCTCTTCTGCCACCAGTCCACACAGCATCTCACTGTAGCATTTTGTCATCATGCATACTTCTCACCACTGTGCAGGCCCTGCTGCATTACAGAATACACCTAGCCAAGTATGCATTGTGGTGACGTCCTTGATTCCGTAACAAGAAGTCTGGAAAGCACCTAGGAACCGAAATCATCCAGAGGAGATGAGTTTCCTTCCTTCTCATCCTAGTGACTGCTCTAAATTCAACCATTCATTACACTCTTAGGCTCACTTGAGCTACTGTCCTCCAGGCCTGAAGAATCACTTCAATGGAATACTGAGCCAATCCTTTTGCATCTGCCATGCAGCGTACCACAAACCAGCACTGGTATGTTTCAGGGGCCCTGGAGCACTTGTACTCTTTCCCCAGCTATAAGAGCACTTACAGACCCAGTCTGGAGAGATTCATGGAGCTCTGACATCACAGACCTCAAAAAGGGACTGTCCCTTGAATCAAGACTTGAGCTCAAAGAAGCATTCGGCCAGAAGAGTCCAGCCAAGGCTCATCTCTGGAGATAAGGAGAAAGCAACAAGCTTTAGATGCCAGGGATAAAGAGATTCATAAAGGGGTCAGTTAGATAAAACCACTCATATATATATACATGACCCAACAACATTTGCTGTAGTGGCTGCCCCCAGATTGGTGATGAGGAACAGAACTTCTCAACAGCAAAATTCTGCTTTTGCTGCTTCCACCGCACAGCCATGTATGAAGTGATGAGCCCTGCGCTTGCCATGGCTCCCACTGCAACCAGTGCTTCAGAGCATCACCTTGGAAGGAGCATGGAAGGGGTTGGCAGCAGCTGATGGCAACAGGACTGCATAAAGGAGGGGACAAGCTGCAGGGCTCCTTTGTAGAAAGAACACAAAATCTGAGACTGACCAAAATAAACAGCTCCTCCATTACCGCTTGCCAAATCCAAACATCCTAGCGATAAATGTTGGTACCAGTTGCTATTATCCCCAGTGGCAAAGCTTTGATTACAATAAAAGAAAGCTGCAGGAAAAGTATGTGATTTGAAAAAAAGGCCTGAGCAAATAAGGAAGTTTCACTTCTTGCCTACTCACAGCACAAGGACCAAGATTTGTCTGAAAATTAAAACAGACTGCAGGGATGGAAAATGCCAGCCATAAAGCTTTAGAGAGCTTAATACAGAGAAATATAAATGGCAAGTGATCCCAGATTATTTTAGAACAGGCTGGCTGCAATTTAGAATCTTGATTGGACTGATTACTAAAGGATGAACACCAAAATAGCTTCAGCAATTAAATTTCCAAACAGGAACACAAAGATTCTTATTCTTTAAAAAGCTGAAAATTAATTTAAATATCCAGTATTACTTTTGCCCTCCTCAGCAGAAAAGCCTGCTGTGAAACATGGTCATTTCTAGGAAAGGAGATGGAACAAGGCTTTTGCAGCCCTACAGGTTTTCCATGGCAAGCTAAAGACCATCTAACTAACACCTCTGAAACAACATCATACTGGAAAGTTAAAGACAGCGTTAGGGTATTTTTCAAACTGAAAAATTTGCAGCTTTCATCAGTATCTTGCTGTGTGTTCCCCCCTCTAATGCTTTTAACAAGTCAGAATTATCCAAGGAGATGATAACACCTATAACCGATGTGAAACTGCCGTTCTGCATGCAGCAAGTGATCTTCGGAGCCGTTTTGTAAAAACACTCCTCCAGACGAGCACCAACCAGAGCCTTATTTCTGCATTTGAGAGACCTCCTGTGGCCACCGCAGACACTGCAACGTCCCTCCGTTGCCTTGCAGCCAGCTGGGTGTCATCCATCCCGCCATCCGACCCTGCCTGGCAGCCTCTGCCTTTTCAGCGCATACCCCCACATCGCCAGCCCCTGCTCCTTTGGCACAGGACAATTAAAACATATGACTCCAAGCTCCCATCAGGCTGGTGTTTGTTTTTCCTACCGAAGCGGAAACACGTGTGAAAACACTTAATTTCATGTGTTTTGGCTGGATAAGCCGGGAGGTGGAAATAATTCTGTGCTTAGAAAGACTGCTGTTTGTAGTTGATCACAGTGCTCACTCTGTGCTGAAGTCTTGGGTAAGAAACACCTCTAAGCAAACAGGACTTTACCTTGAAGTAAGCAAGTGACTGAAAACTGTGTGACCGTTGATACCAGTAGCTTTTTACTTCTATGTACTGGCATTTACTACTACGGTTTTGCATGCCCATGTGTTTTACCAGAGTTGTTTTCATGGCAAGAGATTTAATTATCTACTTTTACTCACCTTACACATTCAATGCAATCAGCAACTACAAAGAAACATGAACTGTATGAATATTTTGGGTTTATGCCCTGGATTTCATGAGGGTATTATTAAACGGTAACATAAGGGTATTAATGGGATAAGAACTGCAACATTTCAATGCCTTGAAATTCAATGCTGCGGTTCCCACGGCAACTATAACCATGGCCACCCTGCATGAATTTTGCATCTCAATCTCAGAACACACAGTTCTAAGTACTCAACGCACACGAGCAAAACCCAAGCAAAAGCTTTTCTTTTTCTGCAGTATCTTACTTGCTAAGCCACAACCACTGCAAGGTGCTAATGGCACTTGTAGGTGAACTTCCAGCAACTGGCAATTAATGAACTGAACATGGCTTCTGTGCACAGGTAATTACCTACAGGATTTGCAGTGTTGGTATTGACACTACTTCTGTTTTCAGTTATTCCTGGAACAGGAGCCCATTGTTTGCACCAAAGGTTAAAACGCTCTTAGAAGGCTGTAAGAGACCAAACTGAAAGACCAATCACATGAGGAAGTACAATGACTGCTCTGAAATGTCTTATTGCTGTTACAAAATGGAGTTTTCATGGGGGAAAAAAATCATAGAGCAGCACAGGCATGGGCAGAGCACTAACAGCCAAATGAACTCCAGCAGCACCTGGAGTTCTCAAGCTACAGCATGATACAGAATACACACAGAATAAAATACAAAATTCAGGAATATTTACTACATTTAACAACTAAAATTACCCTTTAAACTAGCATAATCAATATCAGTGTTTATGGGGAAAGAGAGGGGAAGTCTGCTGCCTTCACAGACTACAGATCACAAGAACTAACTTGAAAAATACAAGATTTTGCATTTTTCATCTGGGTTCAAATCTGAACTGTGCACTATGAATAACTACTAGGTTGCTGCAAATTTAAAATGCAAATTTAGGCTCCAGTTCAAAGCACATGTTAAGTACATGCTTAAGTGCTTCACTGAAATATAACCATAAAACATTAATACAAAAAGTCAAGCAGATAATGCAGGATATTACTGACATAAGTTCTTGATGAAAAACTGAGTATCAGTAAGAAACAATGCATGAAGAAACCTCTTCATTCTAGTTTGCAAAATCAAACCCAGCTCACCGCAGTGATGGCTGAAGTGTGGGGACCATCCCAGAGCAGCTTCACACACTACAGAAAGCTAGCTGACCACAGTTCATCAAATGTGTGTTTCCATGTTAAAAGAGCAGCAGTGGACTCCCTCTGCAGCAGCAGCTAGAGATGCAACTGGCACAAAGCCATTAAAGGGATACAACCAGACCCAAGTGGAAGCACACTGGAAGAGAGCTGCAAGATTTAACTATACTGCCTATGGCTGTAGTGTAGCAAATTGGATGTTACAACAGAGGAGATGAGTAGTCAATTCGATTCCCACTTTTGGGTTTCAATACTGTGCGTGTCCCGAACACAAAGGACAGTACTGCCACATGTGCAGCAATACCTCAGAATGGCATCAACTCACATGTGGTGACTTGCATCACAATATGGTTGCTATCTGAGGGTCCTTTTGTGTTTTGTATCAGTCTGACCTAATCTAACATGGAGAACTTGGTCAGAAAGAAAAATCACTAGTTAGCATTTAGCATGTCCTTTTAAGATGGCCTCATTCTGTAGAGGAATGGTGAGTAACAGAAAAGTGTTCTTAGCTGCAATCAATACTCATAAGCCAAAATGACAAAGATACCATTTTAGTACTTTAGCAGAAGCAGAAGAATGGAAGTCTTTACCCAAATTTTAATGCACAAATCAACTACATTTTTTTAAATTTGATTCGGACTTAAATAATAAATAGGTGGGCAAAATATAATGCAAGACTTACTCAGTAAAAGTGAATTTTTAATAATCTCATGAGATCTACTTAGAAAACAGGACTAATAATGTTCACAACCGTAAATCCAAACCCTTCACACACTTTTTTTTTTTTCTTAACACAGCAGTGAACTGTAAACCTGCATTTACTAGTTATCGCTTCAGTTATTTTAAATATTTAACTCAAGTGTTTCCTCCTTGGCCATTTCAATTTTTAGCACCAAAATTAGCCCAAAAAGAGGTACTGGTACAGCTCAATGTTGTAAATGAATTGTTTACATATAATACTTTATATATTATACACACATACTGTACATTCACACATCCACACAAACAGGAGGCATATTTAAATGAATATATTCTGTGTTTCAATTTGTTGTCAAAGACTTAGGAGCAATGGAAATAAAGCAGAAGGGGTAATATTTTACATAGTAGGCAACTTTAATGCTGTAGTGCACTTATAAAAAAGTTCAACTCTCCCTCCCAGCTCAGCAGCCTTTTTTTTTTTTAATATCGCTATTCAGAAGGATGCAGAAGTTATTGCCTAAATGTTATTCTATACATTTCCATCGGAATTCTCAAAAACACTTGAAACTGCTAACTAATTTCCAACTTCACTATTTTTCTTGTTACAGCTTTAACTCATTGGCAATTTTGGAAGCAATGTTTTTGAAAGCTATGGATGTTCCCGATATCCGCTTAAAGCGAACTCCATTCAGGGACAGTCTTGGCAGTTTACACACCTCCATCTCCCACTGTACAAGGTTTTCCGCATGCCCATCTCCATGGACACAGAAAAGCAAGAAACGCTCTCTTTGTTCATAGTCACAATTATTGGCGTCCAGGACCTTTCGTATTTCCCTCATAATTTCATTAGGATCCATGGAGCTGGTGGTTTTCATGCTCCAGGTAAAACGTAGAGACCGAGGCTTGGCTTCCTTGTTCTCATCCTTCTGATCCACAGCTACATTGCGGCTGAAAGACAGGGATTTCGTAGTTAGCAGGGCCAGCCACCTTCTCCCCATTTCATGTTACTGAAGCACACTAACACTCAACGCACACTACCAGTATTAGAGCAGCATCTAGAGGCTCCGGCTGTGAGCAGTGCCCTGCTTTTCTAGCTGCTGTACAAACACACAGTCAAGGTAAAGCATTAGCTGTTGGGGCTGAAACAAAGGTATGCTACAACGTGTGACACAATTGGAAGTCACTGGAGTCAAGAGCATGAGGGAAATAACCTTGTGGAAGTAAAACTACATGCATCACCTACAACTCGATTTTAACACAGGTTCTGCTCAAACTCCTATTCTCAGGCCGTGCGGGCAGCTGGAACACCAGCTCTGTGTTAGAAGTTTCTGGAACATTCAAATATTGGCGACTTGCGGCAAAAAGGTGCTCAGTCCAAATTGTGGGAGTGCCAGCCCATGGCAAGTGCCTGATCATAAGCAATGGGAGTAAGCCTCTGCAGGAAGATCCTGGGTGTTCCTCTGCACCTCTTCCTGTGCAACAGGGTACAGGCCAAGCACAGGGAAGGCCGATGGAGTCCCACAGTAGCCAGCTGCAAGCAGGAGGAAGCACAGCAGGACCAGGGTCCACGCAGCTAAAGAATAAGGAACCACGTTTGGACACCCAGGGGAAAAAGAGAGAATTAAATATATTGACTATTATGCTTAAATATTTTCTGAAGATACCTGACTGATCCCAAACCATGCAGTTCAGGTCTCATGTTGAGCTTCAAAGTTACAATATTAAGACAAGCTGTTCTTTAAAATAGTTGACCATGAATTTCTGGTTACACAATGCTCTTCTTCTACCACCATTAAGCAGGCAATTATGAAAGTGTTAAATAAAAAGTGATAGCGAGGTCAAAACTGAATAAATATATTTCTCAAATATAGCCTATTTCCTAGTTTAACATTCTATTAAAAAGGTTTCCACTAACTGCAGGAGTCACAGGGTTATGTTGTCAAACCCAGCTACATGATTTGCCAGATGTTATGAAATTCAGCAAGCAAATTAGGGAGTACTTTGTTTTAACTTTAAATTAAAAAAGGCTGTAAGGGTGCTGGGGAAGCACCAACTTCTATTCAATGCTCATTTTATTTCTGAAAGCTTTTTCTACTTGAAAACAGTTGGCAGAACCTGCATGAGTTTGATCATTTCTTGTATTTTTTGATATACAGATTTTGGAAGTAGAATGTAACATGAAGAATACTGTCTGTGATTTTGGAGGGGAGAAATATCACCCTTCAGTGGTTATACCGCACATTTGCAGCCTCACTAGAGACCACTTACCCACACAGCTACAAGACAACAACAAATTACAACGACTAAAATGCAAAAAATTCAAACCACACAAGGGAAAAGGCAACAGGAAGATGAAAGTTTAGGACGAAGTCAGTGCTTCAACAGTTGTGCAGACAGAAATGTTTGTTTAGTTTCAAAGCCTTACACGAAACAAAAGCTGCTGCCTGAAGCTGCTACGCCACATAACCAAAGGGAGAAAGGTTCAAACTCATCTAAGTAACATTTTAAACAAAAAATTTACCCTCACCTTGAGCCCTCAAATCTCCCGTTCCTCTCATATTCAGTCGGGAGCCTCATTGAAAAGAATGCAGAAGCAAAAGGAAGTGGGAAAGAGAAGACAAATCTTACACTACAATATACAATATCTGAGTAGTTGCTAAGAGATACCGCAATCATACTAAAGGTGTGTTAAAATACAAAGCAACGAAGATGTAAAGAACTTTGTCAGTTAGACCAAATTCAGAATCTAACATACTGTCAAACCAAATGGAAGTCTATAAACTATAGTTTAAAAAGACCATAACTAATTTTTACAGTGTATTTATATATATATTAATATTGTAGAACTCACATGAATAAAGCTGAACTTCTAAAAGCAGAAAACATGAAACTGAAGTTACACAGCATTCTGAAGTTACTGTATTATTTAGTAAGTACCTCCCTACAAGAGAAATAACTACCCTATTTAGAGACAAATCTAGTCACCCTGTGTGTTTGTGTTTGCACGTGCATCAGGTCTAAAGTATTAGTGTTTAAACAATACCAAATACCTTGACACAAAAGAGTAATATGCATACACATTTTAACAAAAGTTTAGAGGTAAAGCCAAGATTTGTCAAGCTGTTGTAACTCCATCCTATCTATTCCCGTGCTGACGCATCTTCCAGTCTTCCACATCTAAGAGTAAGCTTAAGCCTTCTGTCTTCTTGCATTGCTTAAAGCTACACTGCTGATAACTACTATTTTTTAAAAACCCAGGATCAAGCAGAATTACGGGCAAAATCATCTTCCTCTACCTTCCCATTATTGCAGTACCACAGTGTGACATCTTGGCACCAATTCTGCTCAGAGGAAAGCTGCCTTTATAAGGATCTTATCAAGACTACTCTAGGCTAGTCCATGGCTTCACTTAATAATGCAAATTATTACAGCAGTTTGGCTGACAGGTGTCTAGGGATAGCAGTGTAAGAGTTGATTTTTTTGAGGCACAGTGGTATTTATATCAGTGTGTGTGGGGTGTTAAAAAGTTTAATTTCCTCCTTTCCTTTCTTTTGAGGGTTGCAGTGAAGCAACAGGCTTGTAAATGGAATTTGTGCAGTCCCTGTCACAAGGGAAGAGACATGTGCTAGCCCTGTGAAGAGCATGGTGGCAGCACCTGCTGTTTAGGCTGTGGAGCCTGCTCCTCGTTCAAAATTTACGCTGCTATTGCAACAGAATTCTAATTAAGAAAGCACTAAGTCACTCAGCTATGAGGTGCTTGTCACAACAGCATCCGATCAGAACCCTGCTCTATGAGGTGCTGCTCAGCACATGGCACAGAAGGGTCTTTGCTAGGAAACGTTTGCCATTGACTAATGAACAGCTGTCATGCTAAAAGGATAAGGAAGATAACAAGAAGGAAACAACAGGCAAGTCCTCAACTAATTCTACTGCTTCAAAGTGAGTTTTTAATGGTAGCTATTTTCATGAGATCTTGTGCTATGGATCTGTGGTAGATACACGAGAAGGTAGAGAAGGATTTTTAAGGTCTGCATGTACAGTCTATGTGTTCATCCTTTATGACAACTCTGTAGGACCAAGAAGGGGGGTAGGTGGGATGGGAGAGATAATCACATGTACCAACTGAACAAATCCACACCTTTCAGATGATCTGGGAAAGGCTCATTCGCTGGCAAAGCAAGCAACAAGTCTGTAGACACTGCTCAATTGAAAAACTGAGAGTACTTGAACTTTAAAGAGCCTCCTATATTCCTACAAGGTAGGAAACATCAGCTTTGTTAACAGCTGCAAGCTTTTATGGATTCTTGGGGTTGGTTTGTTTCATTTTGTTTGTATTTTTGTTTAAAACCAATAACCAATCTCCCCAGCAACTAACAGTCATACTGTTACTGGAATCTGTCCAGAAAAGTCCAGGAGGAAAAATCCCTAATGATGTTCTTAAGACACATTTCAGGCTGAAATTAAGCCAAATTATTCAATTTCTAAACCACTGTACTCTAAATCAAAGAAAGTAATTATTTGCAAAATACCTGCCACTTTGAAATAACAAACACCTTCATGGGAGCTTCTCAGAAAGTCCTTACTTTCTTTCACGCAGCGGTGTTCCATTCATTTCGCAGAGGGAACTGCACGTGGTGACATGCACCCTCAAATACAAGCCATCACGCCAAGTTTATGACAGTTGTGCCAGTCTCTCTAGATGTTCCTTTTCTTTATGACAGACATGGTTATGTCCAGCTCTACTATAAACACCTGCCCAGCACTGGTGTTCAGGAACAGTTACTTACTATATTTCCCAGCACTGTTTTGGGGGGTCTGCAAATCAGATGCAGGCCTGAGCCCCCCCACTGCTGATACAATCTTCACTTTTGCAGAAATGGCAAATTGCTAGCTCATGCTCTGAATTTTCTGCTTTTGCTTGTATTTTTATACAAATTACTTTCATTACTTTCCTACCAGACACTCATTGGTATTCAGAATGGAACAAATATAGATGGAAGTTACGTCTCATTTTTCACGCCTATATACTACCTCCTTTACGGTTTTTGAAAGGTTTTGAAAAATAAGAATGTTTCCATGCATCTGTCCTGGGTTATGGTGTGTTTTCTGTTCTTTACATCTTTGTATACTCTGTATTAAAAATCCAAATAAATGCAAAGAAAATGGTCTAAAAAGATATGGAAGACCAGCAAAAAGTGCAAGACAGTAAAATAAGATCAATTTATGGAACTGGAGAAAAGATGCTGCAAGAAAATCCAGAACATTAAGTGATTTTTGCTGTCAGGAAAAAAAAGGTAGACTTCCACAATATGCAGACTGGCAAGGCCAGTACATGGTACATGAGATATATATATTTTTATACCTCTATGTACCAAGTACAATATTAGAACTCACAATTTAAGAATGAGTGACAGATACCTACTTTTGGTTAGCTCCCTAGAATGACATTGCAGTACTATATGTATATGTGCTACTGGGTTACAGCAGTTCCTTCACTATCAAAGACTTAGTGAGCTTAGGTAAAATTCGTAACATATAAAGCAAGAAGAAATTGCCAAGACCTCTAGCACTTCAGTTTCATTTTGTATATATACAGATCAGGTTGGGACATCATGGATACTTAATTGAATTTTAAATTTAAGAATTTTAAATTTAAGAATTAAAAAAGCATAGCCTGGTCCTGTGTAGGTGGTGTAAGACTTTGCAAATCTCTTATTCAAAAGACATATTCATAGAAGCTGTAGCAGATATTTCCACAATAATCAGATTCCTGGCCTCAAGTCAAAGGAAAATTTTTAAAAAACAAATTTAAAATCACCTTTTTTAAGTCTCAAATTTGAACAGTAACCTTCTAGTTTAAAACTGTACACATATTAGCATTTTCCATCTTTCTTCAGAGCAGCAGTGTAACAAACTTACATGCACCCAGTTCTGGAGGTTGCACACATCACAGTCCTTTGGTTTAAAAGCAACATGACTAAGAAACAGAAGGTGCCTCCTACCAGCGATATGCACTCCACAGCCCATATAATGCACAACAGATTAAAACTAATGCTGCTGCTCAGTTTCATCTGTATGTTGTGCTGGATGGGTTCTTTCCTTAACTAAGACAGTGTATATTCCTTTTCTCAAGGCAGTTGTGACAACCCCAGCCAACCCAACCAATATCAGTTCTAAACACAGTCATGTCTGGAAGAGCTCTGATTATTATTACCATGGCATAGAATTTACTCACTTAATTGGGTAGGGTACCTTTAGACTCGGACTGTACACAATAAACCCAAATTCAGACAGCAATTTACATCTCAGGTCTCCCTAATCTAAGTATTTACTTGAAATGGTCTGATGAACTTAAAGTTACATTCACATGCATAACCTTGCATTCTGAAAGTTAAAACAGATGTTTATTTTTTTACCCAATCTTCCTATTTTTTATCAGTGGTTGAAAATTTAAAGTCCCACCCTTTAGGAATCTCCAAGATATGATACAACTAAACAAAGTATTACAAAATCCTACTGGAAAATGTACCTGTGGATCAAAATTGTATAACCACCTTTCATGAGTTGCAATGGATTAACAAGATAAATAGCAACCTGATTAATTCCCAAACTGTAAAACTAAATTCAATCATTTGGGCTTGAAACGTGAACCAGACTTCTGAACTCTGACATTTTGTAATAAACTTGCATAGATGTTATACTTTTTCATAACCAAAGTGCTCTCTTTGCACTTCCGCTGCAATTAACTTCAGCAAATGCATCCCATTTTAAAATAAATACACAGCCATTGCATCTTCAGTCACAACCATGCTGCTTGCTTTCTATTGTATCAACCGCAGACAACACTTAAACTGATTCTGTTTTATAAAATATCATAAACCAAAGAGAATGCAATGTAAATTCAGCATCACTTACCTTTATTTGCTTGTAACCTTATGTTTTGTTTATACTTTCATCATTGTTATCAAACACCTCATTCTTCAAACATAAGCATGCTAAGTGTATTAGTACAGAGAACAGAATTACTTTGGTACTACCAACTCTATCAAAGAAAGAAGAATTCACAAGGCATGCTTAGCATCTTGTTATACAGGTGCCACAGATTCTTAAGTATCATCAGGAGTTAATAGATTTATTCTATGCTTTCCTCTCAAGAAAGAATTTAGTTCTCAGCAGGAAGTTTAGTTTTCAGAAAACCAAGGCTAGAAAGCCAAATCTGTTGTTAATTGCAGGAGCCACTTTTTTAAAAATATAAATAAATCCTACCTTTTGATAAACCTGAATGACATGTTTCTAAAAGAAATTAAGCCAAAATAATAATTAACAAAAAGTTTTGTACAAAATAAATTGAAAAAGCCATTTAGAGCGAAACATGCAAAAAAAAAAAATCTCATTTAAAACGCACAATGGAAATTACACTTCAATGCATTCTGAGATTAGGCAGATGATTCAGGGCATGAAGAGTCAAACCCTTAGCACTGCTACTTCCAAACTTAGTTTTCCTGGGAAATATGACACCAGTAGTTATTATGAATTAAGATACGTACTGGTGTTAAAACACTACAACTCATAATCTTCAAGGCCACATCAAAATATGTTTGGATTTTCTTCATGTATTTCAAATAGAAAACAAAAATCTGCAATTCTACAATTGAGTATGTTCAGAGTTAGGTTTCTTCTTTCCTTCATAACATCAGGTCAGCCATGTTGTGCCAAGGACTGCCTTCAATATTTAGTTAATTCAGTGGCAGAAGCTGTAACAATTGCCTACACCAGAACATAAGTAGTTCATAATGAGGATTCAGATTATCCATAGAGAATGCTAGAATAACAGATTAAAAAAAACTAAAAAACCCAAAACCCTTAAAGAGAAGAAACAAAACCATGTCTTCTGACGGCACCATCCACCTTCTTAGTAGCTTGTACAGCACCTCTTGCAACACAGCCCCAACTGTAAGAAGTCCGCCAAGCGCAAACTTCTGTGTCCTGGTGTTGGCTGGGACGAAGTTAATTTTCTTCCTATAGTTGGTGCAGTGCTGTGTTTTGGCTTTAGTCTGAGAACAATGCTGATACCACACCAGTGTTTTACTTGTGCTAAGTAGGCTTACCCTGATCAAGAACTTTTCTGTCTCTCAGGACACCTGACCCAAACTAGCCAAAGGAGTATTCCATAGCACAGCACATTGTGCCCAGTATATAAACTGGGGAGAGTTACCCAGAAGATCCAGATTGCTGGTTGGGTTGGGCTGGGTATTGGTTGGCAGGTGCTGAGCAATTGTATTGTGCATCACTTCTGTTTTCTGAGCTTTATTTTTCTGTTGTTTCCTGTTATTGTTATTGTTGGTATTCTTTCTAGTATCACTATATTGTACTTTTAGTTATTGGACTGCTCTTATCTCAACCCTTGGGGTTTACATTCTTTCAGTTGGGGAGGGGTGAGGAAGGGGTGAGCGAGCGGCTGTGTGGTGCTGAGTTACTGTCTGGGCTTAAACCATGACAATCTGTAACAGTGCTATTGTGTTACAACTGCACGCTATTTAATCAATTACAGATGGAACTATTGTCAAAAGAGGTGGGGAAAAGCTTTGGGAAAACCACACTGCACTGTGAAAGTTGAGACTTGGAAGTAATGATAGAAGTTTGAATGCTGCCTAAAGAACCAAGTGAAAAGCTTGTATACTGACATTTTGAGCATCCACATTTGGCACGTCAGATGGAAAATTAAGTAAGGCTATTACAAACAAAAGTACAGAAAGAAATATGTGCCAAAAGGATGTGTCTGATTAAGACTTCACTTGACAAAAAGCAGATTACTTAAATCATAAAAAAAATCCAAATTAATCTGTTATCTCTCTCTCAACTGAAAAAGAATTGGGGGTGGGTGGAGGAAAGGGGGAATTTCATACAGCAGTGTTTCCCAAGGAAGTGTTAGCTGGCAGAGAGCTCAGCAGGGTAAAACCTTTACCCAAAGGCTAAGCTGTCATGGTTTCGTTTCTCACAGAAACAACTCCTACATTTTTACAGAAATTCACTTGCTAAATTGAAATCAGCCAGTTATGAAAAACTGAAGTCTGGGTTGTCATTATTTTGTAGGAATGGGAGACTATGAAGTCTGAATGCTGAGAGGGAAGCATGTATAGTCACAGAACAGACAGGAAGGAAACAGCTTGGTGCTGATGTGATACAAGACTAACACAAAGCACCCAGGCCAAGATCAGAATCATATACTCCAAAAAAATTTCACATGATGAGGAGAGTACAAAAGCATGGAGATTATCTTAAGGCAAAGATAAACAAACCCTCACTTCTGCAAACACAAGTTGTGGATATCAGAGTGGTCTGAAGTATGTGGTATGTGAACCAACAGGTTTTAAATATAGGAGAATAGTTGGTCTTCCATTTTAGAGTTTGTAGGAACTAATTTAAATCATACATGGGTTTGAAATGAGAAGTCCAATTAGAAAAAAAAGCCTGTTAGTGCAGGAACAAAACCTGCTTAAGCTAGGCTTTGGCTAGACCAACACACCTTCACTCCAAAATCAGAATCTGCACATGAACTAAAGGTCAAAATAGGAGTAAGGTTTCACCAGACTCCTGCCTAGACTGAAACCACAGGCCTGCATTATCTACAGTGACCTACGCTAGCGCTACTGCCAAAACAAACTTTTGTCTCCTGTCCCTAGCCTTTCACCTGTGATATTTCTATTCATGTGTTGCCAGTAGGATTATTCTGGAAATGCCAATAGCTAAGTGACTGGAAAACACAAAGTGAGCTTCTAACACTACAATAAATATCAAGACTGGGATCTTAGTTTATGCTGCCTACTGGCAGACCATGCAGAGTGAGCCACTTTTGAACTGAGCCAAAATGTTTCAGCTCTGCAGCGTTTTTATTTCAGACATGAGGATGAAGAGCACAGAAGGAACAGCACAGACCAAACATCCCCACTTTTTATCCTGTTTGATTCAACTGCTAAAAACATGGCTTCTGTAACCAAAAAGAACTACAAAAAATAATAAGCTAGTGCATTTTAAGTTGCAGAAACTGTTAAGCCATTAATCAGAGAATATAGACAAAACCACCTAAGCAATGAGCCACTAGGTACTTCTACTACCTAATAAAAGGAAAAGTTGCATTACCATTTTATGAGACTAACCTTCTTGTGAGTTTTGAAGTTAGTTTACTAAACAGATTAGTGGATCCCCTGGTTCGAGTCTGTGAGAGTGGTGTTGCTTCATGGGACAGACTGGGGGAGGCTGGCGGTCCGTTGTAGGTAGCAGTACGTCTCTCTCTGAGCTGGCCGTGGAAAGTGCTCCGACTAGCTGTTCCTCTGGGGAAACGAATACGGTCAGGTGTGGTTGCGCTGCTAATGCTGTGAGTTGAAGCAACAGGAGTTCTTTGATCGGGAATAGTGCTAGAGCAGAAAACAAAACAATGCTAGAAATTCTTCACAAGAAGCACTACAGTTCTGCAGGAAACACAAAACACTACGTTCTACAGTAAAGCATAAGCAGACACTTTGATATAGGCCAGGGTTGGAAATATCAACGTTATTACAGCACTGTATGGAATCAAAACTTGTAAGAAGTTAGGATTAAAAGGCTGCCGAAACAGAAACCTACAAAGTCAGAAAAAAACCAAGAGTGTCTTGGAAAAGATCAGATATACTAGGCATACAGTTTGTTTCACTGAGAAGACTCATAAAGGAATAGACAAGCCAAGTTTCCTCCCAGGAAAGAGAAGCAGTAAGTAAGTTTAGTGTCTCTCCCTCCACATTCTATATATACATCTTTTAAAATCTTGCTAATTTTGAAAGTATCCTACACAAAATTCTCTACAAGTGAACTGCTCCAAGTAGCAAAGTCCTTCAGGATACACGGTTAAAGTCTCCCACAAACTCTGACAATAGGGAATGTCCAATACTCCTAACACTAGGAAAAAATTAAGGTTCATTATTGCAGGATTATGTCACCGACAGCCTGACACACCACAAAACAAATGTAAACAAGACTAAAAAAAATGAAGAAACACACATCTTGTGGGCAATATAAACTAGAACAATCTAGGACTAAAATTCCACAGCACAAAGTTAAGAAGCAGTGGGTATAAGTTAGTTTGACAACGATTTCAGGTTCTTACATAGGCCTGAAGTTATCTGCGCCATTGTCTATTGGAGGCAACATCATCTTCGTGTGCACAGAGGCTGACATGGACATCGACTTCTGATGTCGCAGCCGAACACTGGAGAAGGATGTAGTACAAACTGAAGCAGGGCTAGCTGCGTAAGCGGACATTTCTGTCAGGCTGTGAGGGGGTTTGGGTTCAGGCAGAGGCAGAAAGAAGAGCATGATGGACCAACAACAAACTACTGCATAGAAAAAAAGCAAACTTTTCCTTCTATTACTTATTTATCAAAAAACATGAACTCTTAATAGCCCTCTTCTATGCAAAGAGCAGTAACTATCCTACACTCCCCTTAAAAAGCATCCTCACTATAGTACTTGACATCTATGAAGTGATCATACTCTTACCATTAGTTTGCAGTGTTACTCTCGATGTACAGAACCTGAGTAACTCAGTGCTGTGTGCCAAAGCACCTCTATAAAGCACTTATGTAACTTGTACAGGTTTTAACATTAAAAAAATGCATTAATAAACCCACCAACTGCACTTTGCAAGAGAACAATGACAGCTCTATTACCACAGTGAAATGCTTTGTTTTCAGAATGTATCCATGTTAAAAGAAATCAGTGTAATCTGGGCAAGCTTTCAAATCCCAGTCTACATCTGGTAACCAAGGGACTTCACAGGCACAAACAGAAAACAACAGTATTGTGATCTTTAACAAGTCCAGAGAGGCCCAAACAAAAAGACTACTATTAATCAACCTATACGTGTAAGAGGCAATGAATAACACATGGTGTTCTCTGAAGAAAGAGGTATTACAGTTTGAAGAGCATTTCATATATCTTGACCACAAATGTTAAATTCTCTAAATTTGAGGCTCAGGCTTTGAAGGAAGGTATACAATGCTGTCTTAGCAGAATGGTCAGTAAGCTGCCAGCTGTATAACATGAAATACTTTTCTTTCTTTGGGACAAATTCTTTGCAGCCTTCATATTATCTAGTAATGACAAGGATGGGAAAAAACTGAGGCCACAAGATGTACTGGGCCTTTCAGGCTACAATGATGTATGCCATTCATCTTAAGTTTGCTTTAAAAGTAAGGCAATTGTAATCAGAAATATTGTTCAAGGTTAAGAAATCGGGAATTGCCAGTGACAGTTTCATCACACTGCATGTTTGCTTCCAAGTTACTTCCTGGTTACCTATACTGAAATTCAAGTCCTCTTATCCCCTCTTGTCCTCTGGTATGTCAGAATTTGGAGAGGAGAATGCTACTCCAGCTACAAGTGTCAGCTGACCCTCTTCTCAGACTTAGCTCCCAAAGCACTAGCAGAAAACACCTTACAGCTCAGACATCAGAACTGCTGGCTAGAATGGTTAGCAAAAATCTTTCTGTTTTGTTTCTAACTTTTCAGAGTCTTGAAAACTCCAGAGTCATGCACTCATCTCTTTACAATGCTGAATCCAGCAGGATGCCAACTACAAGCACTACTACAATGAAGCCTGCAACACAACCCAGCTTTTACATTACCCCAGGGTATTAATAAATTGTAAGGAAATGAGCATTCATCTCAACAGCAATACCCTAAAGTCATGTAATCCCCAAATAATTGGTCACTAGCCTCCCCAGTACGTCCAGCTCCTTCCCTCTCAATCTGCTGTGAAAGATACAGGAGAAATAATCTAGTTGCAACACATTAGACCCAAGTTTTATTTAGTCGCCTGCCTCCAAAGAGGTGATAGCTAAAGGTACCAATAAAGTATCAGGGCACATATCAAAGCACCTATATCTCTTCCTCTGCAGCTTTGCTAGAAATCAGCTTCCTTAGATTATTAGCCTGAGAACAGAGAAAAAAGTGAGCAAACATTCACCAATTAGTGCCAAGGCTTATCAAAAATCTGAGGCTGTTGTAAATCATTTGCGTTATAAATGATTTAAAGCAATTGCCTATCATTATGAAGAGTGTTCTATGAGTCCCCAAGTGCTTTAATTAATGCTCAGACTTTGGAGGAAAGCCAAAAGAGTCCTCTCCGGTAAAATGCCTGTGTCAGCCACACAATGTGGTAAAAGTAGGAATGTGAGACAAAAACTCTTTGCTTCTACCAGTCTTGCATGGGATCTTCAAGACTACTTTCCCCAACAGGTGCACTAGCTGACTATCAGTTCTTCAATTTCTGTATCTTCAGAAATAATGCCTTCTCAGAATTCAATGTGTAAGATAAAAACAGAACAAGTAACATTTTTATTCTTCCTGTAGGGAAAGTGTTGAAACTTCAAATGTGCCCTCCTTGCCTCTGAAGGCAGGTTTCCACCGGCTCAGTCGGTATCTGACTGGCTGTGGAAAATCTAAAATCCAATCTGTTACAAATCATCTATAGTAATTACTCCTGCCTTTAATATTTTCCACCGACTGACATTTCAAAAGCATAGAAACCATTTCTGACAAACCCTTGGATTTATACAAAGCTGAGGTTCTACTTCAGATCTTGCTTCACAGGAAGAAAAAACATCACATTTTTCTAAAGTTACTTTCTGCTAGTACAATAATATTTCTGAGACTACAATAAAATAGACAGATACTACAGAAACACCTGAAGGCAGGCAGGATTCATTCTGAAGAGCCAGTTCCATCAACAGCCATGCTGATTTAGCCTGAATTAAAGGTCCCTGCACCTCATGTGATCAGTCAAGCCTTCGCCTGGTTACAGCAACAAAATAGACTCAGAAAAATTCTGAATTCTGTCCCAAATCACAGTAATTTTGAAACTGTGCCAAAATGAATGCGCAGTTTACTGTTGAAACATTTCCGACAATGAGAGGTCTCCAATTTAAAGCAATTACCAATGCATTCTCATTATCTATTTCATTTTAACCTTCTATAAAGAGTAACAAAAGCGGTAATAAAAAAATATGTGCAGAAGTTAAAATTATCCTTTCCGGGCAGTGAACATATAAATGCTCAGATGTTTCAAATAACCCAAACAGGACTAGACTGCAGGATGTCAAATGATGTTTGGATACTGTACTGACCACAAAAGGTAAGTTACATAACAATAACCAATTACAAACTAATATAGTTGCCAAGTACTTCTCAATGTTAACTTTTAGCTTAGTGCCCGTGTATGACAAACTGAAAAGACAGCAGTTTGCTGAGAAACTCATAGCTGGGAAAAAAAAGTAACTTCAAAAGATAGTTCTTAGGAGCATGAAGTTACTCCTAAATTAATGGGACACCTGAATCTCAAGCATTCCTAATAAACAGTATCTAGTAACTTTTAAACTTTTAAAAACGTATTGCAAAGGTATTAGCTCAAAGATGAACAAAAATATTAAACTAAGAAATTATGTAGTCAAATCTATTAAAGCTATTTTGGACAGAAAGTTTCATTTTTTTCAAGAGTCTGGAAAGAAAAAAGCTATTAACATATCAAATTAAAGAAGGGATGTTGAGCTTTAATCTAAACAAACTTGGTGACGTTAACAGGGACTAAGCAATGAAGGCTGAGACAGACACACTAAGAGACAGTACCATACAGCTGTGCTGTACTTCACAACAAAGTTGATCGCAGGCCCAGCTGGCCAGCCAGACTTTTGGCACTCTTCAGACTTACACTTGACTTTTTCCTTTGCAAAAAGCTAGGAGGAAGAGACAGGGTCAAAACCACGTTCCTTATCCCTAGGCTCCAGGAATCAACCAAGGGTCAGACACATTTTCCTTTCAACATTACAACTTCACTACCCTTCCTTATAAACTGCCAAAAGGAAGGGGAAAGATTCTGTGCAAAAAAGATAGATTTTTCACCAAATTCAACACAAGCTAGAAGTACTTTTTTCCCCACCCTTTACAATATACCATAAAATTAGGAAGGCATAGAGAAAATTGTGAAGAGTAGAAGAGAAGTACACATTCCTCCAAGCTTAAGCATCTTTATTAAGCACTATTAGCTTATGGGTGCTCTTCTGGCAACAGTGAATAACTTGTTACCACCTTTTGAGACAAGTAAAATTTTGTGAAGATCAGCTAGCTGGAACTAAAACACCTCACCCAGCTGGGAAATTTGGTGGTAGAACAGTTGTTCTTTACAACTGTTAATCTATAACTAATGTTTGAGTTCACTATTGTATTAATTTTCTACAACTCTCCTCAGTCTTTGGTACACAGGGAAAGACAGCACTAGATGTGGCTACATACGAACTCGTTAACTCCAATTCCACTGCATGCTCCAGTAAGGCTTTCATTCACTAAAGTTAAGAGGAAACCTGTTATTTCGCTGTTTTCACTTAAACTACAGCAATATCAGTGCTTTCCTTTTCAAGATGAGTTCTGCAAATACTGGGAAGAAATCAAGACTACAAAACATAAGTAAAAAAACATTACTGGTCCAAGACAGTGGCCTATACTGTCTAATCTTTGCTCAGAAAAAAATTACTTTCTACTTTTCACAGAAAAAACAGTATGCCAAATGATCCCAACAGAGTACAGTTTAGAGTGAAATGCAAAAAGAGAATGGCCCAAGAGAGATGGACTTTGTAGTTTCAAGCTAAACAAGCCTCTTCTGCAAGCATATCTTTTCTGGTCACAGTAGGTAACAAGTGACTTAAGATGAAGGCTGTAAAAATTACATGTATTTAACCAGAAACCAGGAATTTATTTTTACATTCCAAGTATAAAGACTATGTATTAAGTATAGGAAAAAAAAAAACAAACCCAGAAAATAACACAACATACTTACAGGTGCTCCGTAATGCTCTGTACTCACCTTTCATTAAGAATTACTCTAGAATACTGATTTTGTTTAAATTAGGTATTATAATTTTTTGGATATGTGAAGACAAAAGACATATACCATAGGAAGACATTTTATATACCTGTTCTTCTTGCCATTTTGTATCACTGAATGCCTATCAGCAGTGGTTCTTTCACTACAAACATATGTGTTGCGCCGTGTCATTGCTCCGGGGGCAGTATTATTCTACAATTAAAAAACATAGGTTTGTTATTCCCCACAAAAGGCTTTTCTGGGGTTAAGTCTACATGTAGTTGAAGGCTGGTTTACTTCATGCTAGTTCTACAGAGTTATAAAACCTACAGTAATTAATATACAAACACTTTCCAGTATTTTTAAGAAATAACACAATCAGAAAAATAATTCTAACAAGTTCTTCTTGTATTTCATGTTGACAGCTCAAAATTAACACAGCTTGAAGTTTTTAATTACCAGAATTACCATTAATTCCGAATTACAAGTTCTCAGCATGTATAGCGCTTATCTACATCTGGATAGCCTATGTCTTTGTAACCTATTTTTGAAATACTTTACCACTTGTAGATTGTAGAATTTTCCTTTAAGTTAAAATCATACTCTTAAACAACATCGGAAAAACAAAGACTTAAGAAACAAATGTGGTAAAATTCAGTGGGAAGGCAAACATGGACTTATTAAAATACTATGAAACACTACACAAGTTTTTAAAACAGGGAAGAATAAGTCAAATTGCAGAGAATTTTAATAAGACTTAAAAAAAATATACATTTAAATACAGGCATAATACATTGAGGATAAGAGAACCAGGGGAACTTAAACTACAGACCTTACTTTAGAGGGGAGAAAAGAAACAGAATTACTTTGCCTCTGTCTTTACAGAGAAAGAGGGTGGAGATATGCCCAAGTTGGTGGTCAACTTTCCAGGAACGACTGAGAAGCTAGGTAATTCACAGATAACAAAGTTATAAAATGTTAGATGCAATTACTGTAGGAGAAAGCATGGTGGTCCAAATAAACATGCACCCCCAGGTTGCAGAAGAAGTAAAAGCTGGCAAGCCTTATATTTTTTCTCCCCACCCCAAGAACATCGTAACACAGGAAACTATAAACTGATTGGAAAGTGGAAAAAAAACTTTTAAAATTTTCTTTGAAGAAAAGAATCACAGGGCAAAGCAGGAAGCAAAATAGGCTATTAACTTGAAACATCACTGCTGGGGGAAGTCTTGGAAGAGGCTAGCTTAAGAGAATGACTAGTCAGCACCTGGATAAGCATGTTGAGTAAGGATGGCCACTAAGAATCAGGCAAGGGACTTCATGCTCAACTAACCTTTTGGAGTTCTTTGAAGAATTACTGCTATGACAGACAACGGAAATTCAGTGGGTTTTTAAAATAGCAACAAGAAAAGGTTTCATATAAATGGTCACAGTAGAGAATGACGTGAAGGAGGATAAAAAAATAAAAAGGCAAAACTAGTTCAAGCACAAAAGGAGAGTAGCCAAACTTTTTCTGTTTCCAAACCTGAAAAAAAATGTTAAAAGTGGAGTATTCTCAATAACCAGCAAAAGCTCCTCTAGTACCTTAAGGCAAAGTATTTCCTATGCAGGGAGTCTCAAGCAATGCAATGAGCTGCAGACTGAACAATGAAGCCATCTTGTTTATTTAGAAGACTGCTGACCTGTTACACATCTTGCCATGAATAAAAATGAAAAAGTGAACTGCACAATCTCCTGGTGTTAAGATGTATAAAGAGTATTAAGAGTATTTTAGATTAGCAGAACTATTAATTAAATCATAAGATGGATGTAAGTTGTCTCAAGGCTTCTCAAATATTCTTCACTAGATAATCCTTAAGGATAGGCATGTACCAAGCATTACCAAAAGTCCTCCTGGTCCTTTCACTGTACTTCATTCCTTACACATCCGTTGCCTTAAAAATCAAACAAACCACTGATTTCTTCTACTCTCCTCTAACATTTCTCATTATACAAGCTCCCCTCTCTTTACTAAATTTGCCAGCAACTAAAGCTGTGCACCTTAGGTAAAGTTTCATTTGTATGTTCTTGAGAGGTCAAGATGTGCAAGATACTTATTGGAGCCCAGGCAAACCAATGGTACATTGAAGTATTGCATATTAATATTTGCATATCATTTTGTTCTGTGTTCCTGAATACATCAGAGAATGAAGCACCCAGAACATCCCACAGTGCTTTTCTGGTGGGAAATACGCACAATCATGGGTGGCTTTCTTGTTTCCACCTGCTGCCTTGGAACATTAAACACTTTTTTCCCTTGAGAAGATACCACATAACATTAAAATGTACTGTCATGTTGCACATCTAGAAAGACAAAGACAGCAATCTCTCCTGGATCAAACTTTAAAGACAGATTTGGGAGTGGACAGGTTTTGGTATTCATACCTGAAAGCAGAGGACTCTAAAGATGCACTTTCACAGCACTTTCTGGAGCACACAGACACATGAATCAGGATACGCTTTTTTTCTGTTTGGCTTATATTTCAGAGGTCATGAGAGAAGACTGAGCATTTCAAGCTTTCAAATTTTAGTTTTAGCAAGAATGCAGTCATGGTTTTAGGTGCTTTTACACTTTTTAGTGTATAACCTTTCATGATTCATCAAGGGAGTTCTTCAGCTATGACTTTCTTCAGCAAGTCTACAGACTATTAATCTCTGGACATAGAATCATAGAACAGTTAGGGTTGGAAAAGACCTTAAGATCATCTAGTTCCAACCCCCCTGCCATGGGCAGGGACACCTCACATGAAACCATGTCACCCAAGGCTCTGTTCAACCTGGACTTGAACACCGCCAGGGATGGAGCATTCACAACCTCCCTGGGCAACCCATTCCAGTGCCTCACCACCCTTACAGTAAAGAATTTCCTCCTTATATCCAATCTAAACTTCCCCTGTTTAAGTTTTAACCCGTTACCCCTTGGCCTGTCACTGCAGTCCCTAATGAAGAGTCCCTCCACAGCATCCCTGTGGGCCCCCTTCAGATACTGGAAGGCTGCTATGAGGTCTCCACGCAGCCTTCTCCTCTCCAGGCTGAACAGCCCCAACTTCTCAGCCTGTCTTCATACAGGAGGTGCTCCAGTCCCCTGATCATCCTCGTGGCCCTCCTCTGGACTTGTTCCAACAGTTCCATGTCCTTTTTATGTTGAGGACACCAGAACTGCACACAATACTCCAGGTGAGGTCTCACAAGAGCAGAGTAGAGGGGCAGGATCACCTCCTTCGACCTGCTGCTCATGCTCCTTTTAATGCAGCCCAGGATACAGTTGGCTTTCTGGGCTGTGAGCGCACACTGAAGCCGGCTCATGTTCATTTTCTCATTGACCAACACCCCCAAGTCCTTCTCCACAGGGCTGCTCTGAATCTCTTCTCTGCCCAGCCTGTAGCTGTGCCTGGGATTGCTCTGACCCAGGTGTAGGACCTTGCACTTGGCATGGTTAAACTTCATAAGGCTGGCATATGCCCACCTCACATGACTAAAATGTACAGGTGCACAGCACACAAAGCCTGAAACTGGTGTCACACCACACTCCCTGACTGGTTAGCTGTGCAAGTTCATCCTTGTGGCATCACCTGACTTTTTTGCAGGAGGTGTTGACACTGCAAAAGCACATGTTGAGACTTCTGAACACAGACACAAGGTCCAATCACAGCACAAAGGATCAATTTGTGGTACAGTCTGTCTTTTTTCTTAGAGAATCTTGTGCCCACTGCTTAGGCAGGATATTTTCCCATTAAGACACATCAGGGCAAGGATGGATGTAAAAAACTTTCAAACAATCAGCTTAATGTACAATGTACTTAAGGGCACTAGTACATTTTTGGTCCTAAATTATTTTCCAAACATACTATCTATTCTCCTCTTCCAGTCATCCTAAAGCTATGCTAAGGGCTCCAGGGCAGCCTTATTACAAGCTGAGGAAAAATCCAAAGCTGTGAGTAATAAACAAGGAGCCGTTAAAGCAGGGAATTATTAGTTGCTGCTAACTATGCAATCCCTGTAGCAGGTTTTTGTTATTAATTTGGTATTTGCCCAATGAACTTCAGGTTCTTGATGTGCTCTTGTTCAGCCTGAAGAACTATTTAGTTTGCAAGAGCTCAAACACAATGTCAACTTTACAAGTACAGCTTGGAGCCCCTTACTCCAACCCAGACTTAGCTCTCCGCTCTACAAGCACAACTCTTATCCTTAAGTGCATGCTTGCAAGTTTTGTTATTTAGTAAGAACAGCACACACCTGTCTAAGGGTGTGCAGTAAAGACCAGTTCTACTACTTTTCCTTTGCCTTTTTAAACAGTATTTTTCTGTCTCTTCAGCGACTTTCTCATCGTATCACTGATTTTAAGACTTAAGTGCTCAGTGAGAACAAAATCCCTCTACCTCAAAAGTTTTTTCAACTTCAGGACAATATGGTAACTCCAACATCTCTCTTTTTTTTTCCCCTTCTAGATGCATGACAAAACTGTAAAACTCTCTAATTAGTTCCAGGAACTGTGTAAGGAGTCAGTCCTTTCCTCCACCCCCACATCCCCAGAATGCCAGAAAGCAGAAGACTAATCTTTACTGAGGGAACTGGGTGCTAGAGTTTGCACTGTCTGACTAAAGAGCTAAGAACAGAGATAGTTTTAAACACTAACTATTGAGTAACATCACAAATCCAATTCCACGTTCACCACCTTGTAGCACTGCTTGTAAAAGATCAGTTGGATCAACTGCACACTGAACAGAGAAGTAATCTATGGTTACGACCTCAAATCTTATTTCAGCTAAAGTAGCATGAAATTTGAAATAAGACTACTGGAATAAAACCCCATAATTTGGGAGTGGTGTAGAATAGCAGATCAAAATACTAAAGATACTAAATGTAAAGTATGTTGGAACAGCGATGCAAAGCTCTTGTATGAAGTACTACACAGTATGGAGTAAAGTTCAATGCAGGACAAAACTATTTTGAGTATCCTACCATTTTGAGACTCAGTAGTTAAGGTCTGTCACGTAAGATGAAACAAAATCCAAATGGTTTCTGGGCTGATAAGAAAACAGGGCAAAGAGCAGGTACGCCAAAATTGTGTTCTCTTGTTCACATTTATGAATAACAGCTGCTACAGTAGAAGACGTGTCTTTCCAAGGAATCTCTCTGACTGAGATCCTCCAACCAAGTCACTATCAGCCACTGAGCCAAGTGACAATACAGAGCTAAAGAAGTAAAACAAATCCTGTTTCACTTCTTTTGCTTTAGGCTGTCAAAAAGCTGTGAGCTCAGAAAGTTCTGTTCTCATTTGTTCTAAGTAAGGGTGCTGAGTATATGACCAAACATGACAGTTTTGTGGGATAAGTTTAAAAACAAAACAAAAAAAAACACAAAAAAAAACTTAAACCACTCCACTGCAAGTTGAATAAGGGACTGGGAAGTTATTTCTCCTGTAAAAAAGGAAGTTTTTCAATACAAATCCCCAAGATTCAGAAAATAAATATTACAAGACTCAAGAGTTATTATGTGAAAACAGATTTCCAACTTTGCCTCAGAGGGAGGCACCACAGAGCATATACGTTAAAAGCCAAAAGGAACAAAGAATTTTCTGTCTTTTGACACACTGCCTATTGCTCAACCCTGTAAATTCACTAGTTATGCACTGTAGTGAAGTTTTTTTGTTGGTGCTGTTGAGATTTAGGGCAGGTGAGAGAAGCCCAGAAGGAAAAAAAAAGCCAGGCACACTGATTTTAAATACAGGTTGAATTACACTTTCAAATGTTTTTAGAGCAACATTTCTTTGACAATCTTAATATACGTAACTATGACTTCGAACAGCCTGTTTGAGAGCAAAGATTAGGTGGCTCCTTATACACATGAAACTGTAAAAGAGGATAATAAAAACAGAGATTTTGTTGTTCTGTACAGAGGCAACAGAAGAGTAGCTGGTAATATCAGAAATAAGTTATGCAAAATTTCAGTGGACAGCCTTTGAGTTCAGTGTCTTTCTTCATGTTTTTTTTTATTTATTTATTTTTTAAAATACCCAAATTATGTCTGTTCACCAACAGCTACTAGTGCTAACTATTAATACCTACTAACTCCTTCATAATTATTACAGGGCAACTTGAGTAGCTAGCTGACTGATTCAGGAATTAAAAAGGCAACTATATGAGGTATCTACATTTACTCTGGATGAATGAGAAGTACAATCAGCACCACTGATAAATCACAGGTTTAACACTTCTTTTACCCCTCAGAAATATTTCATGTTCATAATAAGTAAGTGTTTTTACTTACACTAGGAACAGCTGAACCTTTCTTACGTTCAGGAATATCAGCCTTATTGGGATTGCTGGCATTTCCAAGCATTGGACTAGCTGGTGCAATTCCTCTTCCTGCAACTGCAGTACTGCTGGATTTTCTTGACTGAATTCCTTCCTTTTTGAGGTCACTGTCTGTAGTACTAGTCTGGCTTCTTTTGGGATATGCCACTACTGAGGGGATGGATGGTCCAGCTTAAAAAACAAGTAAAAGAAACAGGAAAATTATTTTTCTTGTCAGAAGTTCAGTAACTATTTTTCATTACAGTGGAAATGTATTCACACATAAGAATCATGCAGATACTGGGAATCAGAGTTGAAAAAAAGGTAATTATTTAAGTTAACCAAAATTAAATGTATTTTGGACAACAGTAAAATACTGTGAAAAACAAAAGCCTTTCTAGGTGAAGATACTACTTGATTTCCATGAGAGAACCACACATGTCATGGAGGCTTCTGATGTTTGAGTACTGACACTGGTTTGACTTGCTAGGAAAAACCCATCATCTTAAAGACACTTAATAAGTAATTGACTCATTCAAACCAGACAACTCTTAATTAGCACTAATCTGACACATGCTGTTCAAGCTAACTTCCAGTAAAACTGGGCTCCTGAGACAGGCACCTGGTGACACAGCCCTGGGCCACCATCAGCTCTAATGGCTGGTGGCCTGTGCTCCTGGAAAAGCCCAGAAGCAGGGGCAGTTTGCCACCAGCCTCCCCAGCTGTGCCAGGAACAGGAAACCTCTCCAGCACACCTGAGAATGGGGCAGCCCCTTCAACAGTCGCAAGCTCCCTCTTGCCTTACTAGGTTCCTGGACACTGGAGAAGCCTGTAGGGATGTCAGGACTGTGTTTTCTGCTGCCTCAATCATACCTCCTCAGAAGACACAGAAGAAGACATGGCTAGATATATCAACTTTGTAGCTTGTGTTTTAATAACAATCAAAAAGTGTACATGTATATACACAAAAAATACATATATATATATGTAAAACATATATATATTAAAAAGTATCACAAAACATGGTAACTATCATCCCACAAGAATCCTTAAGAAAACCAACCTCTCAATGCACTTGAGGTATTAAAAGGTAGTACTGAACAGAGACTCCTTTTATGAGTTAAGTGTCTGAGCAGGAAGATGTTTAGATATTTAGATAATCCTAAACTACTGTCTTACACACTCATTAAGCAGAAGACTTCCAAGTTTGTCTGTATCACTGTTCTTTAGAAATTTAATTCCTGCAGGACAATCAAGTGACTCTACCCTCAGGAAACAGGAAACAAGAAATATTGGTAAACTGACATTTCTTCAAGTTTTAGACACAAGCTGACCTACTAGTGTCAAAAGAAAACAAAAGCTGAATAGACATACAAGAGCGTGGGGGAGGAGTGCTGTGTTTTTCATGAAAAAGGGAGTTGCATCATTCTCTTCAATTTGTGTAACAAGACTTTCCCAGCATGATCAGGAATGCAAGGGACAACACAAAGCAGAATGTGAGAATTAAATTGGTGTACTCGGCATTCCTCTAGAAGAGGTCTGAAAATTTTATAACAAAACCAATTTTTAAAAAGTATTAGTTATTCAGTAAATTATTTAGCCACCATGCTGTGAGCTACACAGTTGTTGTCACCTTCCTTACCTTTGGGGGATGGAGACAAATTCAGACACTCAACAGAACTTGAACTCACTGTATTATGCAACACTGAAAATGAGAATTGCTCACCATGATCACTGTACCGCCGCTGTTTCTGGCTAGAAGATATGCTTCTCTGAATTTTGTGATGAGGAGATTGTCCAGTGCTATTATTAAGATCATTACTTGGCCTAACTTTGGCAAGTGAAAGATTGCTGCTGGAGCTTGAATCACTTGCATCCAACTACAATACAAATGAGAATATTAAAACAAGGAATTCAGACAAAAAAAATTAAACATCTACCACATTATGGGAGCATTAACAGGGAAGCGAAAGATGGCTCTACTACACGGAAAATGTTGTGACAGCAAGGAAGTTGCTTAGAGGCCCCAACTTCGCTTAGATTCTTGTGCAACTTTCTTAGGTAAAATTCAGCAGAATTTGCAGCTCCTCAAAGGACAATCCAATAGAGAAAATCCATCTCTACTTTCAGTATCTGTATCTCTACTACAGTAACCTCTCCTCAGAGAGGATGGATTTTGTAGAAGCCACCACATCAACTCCTGCAGCACAGGAATCAAGAGCAGCTTACTGATGTCAAACCCTCTCAGTGTCATACGAAAAGGTAATCTACAATGCAAGAACTTTTTTAGGTTGACAGGTATTGTCCTTGTTTCTCTTAAAATATTTACAGCTGGCACACTCACACTTGAGATCCTAGACTAAACAGAACAGTAACTGGCATACAAAGAGGAGTAACTGCTGATCGAGCAGAGTAGTTTTGGGGAGCGTAAAGGCAAGAGTTTACTGACTCATATCAGGGTGAGAACAAACACACAGTGTCATTTGGACAGTTGACATTTATGAGGAGAATAACATGGTTTTAAGTGCAATGGACTTTTGAGCAGGAATGCAACTGCCTATAGTTACTGAATTAATTTTTGATTTTAACTTCACTAAGGACCCTTTCCGATTCCTTTGTTTCATTGTAAGAATGGTACTTACCTCCAATGATTTCCTTCCTAACAGTAAGTATGTAGCTGTGATTTCATCATACTTCATTTTACTAAGTGATTCTTGAATTTCTTCTTGAGAATATCCCATTCCTACCATAATATCTAAAAACCAAATACATATTCTGTAAGTAAGGGAAACACTCTGATGTTTAGGCTGGCTGAGTGTTGAAGTTGAAGAGAAAAAATGGAACATTTAAAGAATTAAACAAGCCAGTTAAGTGTGAGAACATAAGCCTGACAAAATATCAATATTAAAAGATTAGTAACTTTTACCCAAATGGCAAGTTAAAAAAAACCAACCACAAACCAAACCCAACCACCCATCACGTAAACAGTATTATGTTCTGAAAAAGACTTCATTACCTATTCTTTTCTGGTCCGAGATGTCTAATTCTGGTTCAAAAAAAGGTTTAAGTTCATCCTCCTCATGCCCTGCATTGATCCACCTGTCCTTCATGATTTGCTATTAAAAAAAAAAAAAAAAAGGTTTGTTGGTATAGTGTACTTACCAGCAAAGAAAATGAGCTGTTGAAATAACAGCTCCCTCACCTACCAAACACTAAGGACTTTTCTAATTTTTCTTTTCCAGAACAGGCCCCAGCACTTACTTTTGTTTTGCTCCAGTGAGGAGAATCAACTATGTACATCAAGCTGAGGTTCTTCCCAACCAGCTGCATTCTAGCACATAGCTGAGAGCTAAAAGCCCGTAACACAGACCAGGAGCAGTGTGCCAACTCTCAAAACCAGTAGGTCCAGGCTCAACTGTGGACGTCCATGAAAGTCAGTATTGTTTTGGCCTTTCTCCTCCATAATGGTACAAAATGTGGGTGAAAGGCAAACACATCATAACCTAGCAGCCAGTAACTGCAGTTAACATTTGAAAATGTGGAAATGATCATCTATTTACGCAGGAATCAACAAGGTAATCCCTCAGAAAAAGCTGTATGACATACGCAGTGTAGTCTCACATTTATTTTGAAAGCAACTGTGGAGTCAAGTGTTTTGTAACCATAGTAAATAAAATCTTAAAAAAAACCCCACCAAAACAGTCATATGCTCTACTCAACAACCTCCCTGCCCCAAACCTAACCCAAATAAACTATTCAGGAATGGTATGACAATAATAGGTTACAGCTCAAGAATACAGTTTGCAAAATACAATGTCTAGCTTTCTGATGCACCTTCTTTGTGCCATTACCTCTAGAGTGCCTCTTTTTGTTGGGTTTAGCACCAGGAAACGTTTGAGGAGGTTTTCACAGTCTGTGGACATGTAGAAAGGAATCCTGTACTTTCCCCTGAGCACTCTTTCTCGAAGTTCCTTGGTAACAGAAGAGCAGACTGTAAGCTATAGGCAGCAAATCACTTAAAACAGATAAATATACCCTACGTATACTACAAAAACACACCTTTAAGTTCTGTCCATCGAAAGGAAGAGATCCACTCACAAGAGTATAAAGAATAACACCTAAGCTCCAAACATCTACTTCAGGTCCATCGTATTTCTTCCCTTGAAAGAGCTCTGGAGCAGCATATGGTGGGCTGCCACAAAAGGTGTCCAGTTTATTTCCGACTGTAAACTCATTGCTAAACCCAAAGTCTGCTATTTTAATGTTCATATCTGCATCTAGCAATAGATTTTCAGCCTGGAAGAGAAAGAATGGTTTGAAAGATAAAATACTTTGATTTAGAATGCTACTGTCTGTTTTTACTCATTCTTAAAACGCAAAAAGCTGGAATACCTATAAACATTAACTTACTTGCAAAGTCTTTCGGCACTCTTTAGTCTACCAGTCACGGATCTCCTATTTTAAAAATCTCTCTACAACGGCTTCAGACTATGGGAGCCGTTATGCTACCTGAAAACTGTGTTATTACCACCTATCTGTTTTCTCCACGGAAATGCATCCTGAGCTACTGTAACTTACATTTTCATCCATTACGATGAAAACAAGATACAGTATCGCTATCCTTACTTTATGTGGCATTATTGCAAAAGTTTGGTAATACACATAACCTTTAAACTTTTTTCAAGAGGGTTTTTTGTTTTTTTTGGTGGTGGGTAGTTTGACATCATTAAGCTATTATATGTTAAGCAAGTTATGTGGCAACACTATTAATATAAAAGGCACAGTTTAAAGAAGGGACATATCATTTCATGCTGAGCTACAAAGAAGCTCAGTTTCATCATCATGACTGGTCCAAGACCAGAACTTTTCATACCTTCATACCTCTATCAAACTACCCTTATTTCTTTTTAGATCTCTCAGCTAACACTGACCTGCATCAGATTTGAATATGACCAAGGGTGAGATACAATGTTTTAGCAGCCTTTAAATTAATAATAAATAAAAGCCTTACAAATCCTTTTTACTTGAAATGGTTCTATAGCGTAGACATTCTCAAAACTTCCAACAATACTGCAAACAAAACTTGCAACAAAACTTGCAAAACACATGCAAAAAAATAACTCGGAAAACTGAATTTATACTACATTTTAGTGGCACAATAAAGATCAGACCCACAGGTACAGAAGCTGGTACACATTTCACACACTTTTTCCTACTCACCTTGAGGTCTCTATGAACAATATGCTTTTGATGGCAATACTGCACTGCAGATACTATCTGGATAGAAAACAAGTCCAATTATATAAGTGACATTTCAAAGAAACCAGAGTTTCAATCACAAAGTTCAAAATTTTTACTAAAGTTATGAACTTAGAGCTACCTAACCAACTATTACAGTGACCAACATATATGGGGAAAAGCTGTGAAGTAACTTAGGTGTTTGTTATTTGATTTCACTTCTACTACACTTGAAAGAGAATTTTGTTTTTCCTGTGTGGCTAATTATAGACCAGTAGAAGCAATGACTTTCAGAAAGGTTACTGAAGTATTTCCATTCCAATACTATTCACAGCCATAAAAGCTTTCCCTGTGGACTGAAGTTTTCCAGGCCTTCTCCAAAGGTGATTTTTCATGCCGCAGCATGGAAAGAACAGAGTAAGAAATGGGCTTAGCTATTAGAGAAACTACTGGGAAACAGCTTATTTGTCAAAACTTTTGCAGTGAAAAGCAACTGTGCATCTCAGGTGTGCTGTCAAAGGGTATATGGTTTATTGTATTTTGTACAAGAAGAGCAAGATCAATGGAAAAAACGCTATGTCTCACATGTAACAGAATAATTTCTTCCATCATAATTTCCAAGTATCATTGAGTTTTTCCTGCTTTATATAGAAAGCTATATAAGCTATTTACACAGTACAGTGTCCTAGTACATTCCTTTAGAGTCAGAAGCATTGCTGCAGCTCTACATGTATGGAAAAGGTTATTGTTACACGATCACAAATGTGCTCAAATACATTTTACTGTCACATGAACGTGGTCAGAATTGAGGCAGATGTTACAACTTCTTAAAAGTGGAACTGCACATAAAGTGCACATAAAAGTAATTTACTGTAATAACTACGCTTATATGATGTATTTCCATTCTTAATGTGTCCAAGACAGAAAGATGAGGTATCATTACTGTTACAAAAATAACTCATCATCAGACTGCCCAGCTTAGCAGAAGGATCTCTTGTACTAGTAAGAAGAATACTTCTTTCTCCCTGTATTTAGAGTAGGTTAAAGTAAGGTAAGTAAGGTTCTTGGTAGGTCAGAGACCTGCCTGACCTACCAGTCAATTCTGCATGACGCTTAAAACACCAATGTTAGTGTCTTTGTGCCCCAGTATTACTGAATCACACACGTGAAAAAAAATTTCACCTCAGAAACTAAGCAATTTATGGAAAGGTGAAATATTTCCATTCCCTACCCTTTCAATCTGTTTCTGCTTGTTCCTTCATATATTGGTTCCCTCTTACAGACTCCAAGTTCAGCTTTTTACAGTTACTGAAACTGCCGAAGTGCTCTCACGCCACCACTTGTACCATCCTTTTGGTTTTCCTTCCTTTCTTCTCTGCTACCATTACTTCAGCGCCAGTCACGAGCTCACTCTGCAGGGGCTTCCAAGGCTGACAGCATGACAAACACCCCAAGCTTTATTCAGGACTGCAGAGACATGGCACCATACCACTTGCTCCTAAACTGCTTTTACTCCAGCTAAGAGCAGAAGGTCTAGCAGATGATCAATCACTAGTTTCCTTTACAGATGCTTCTGAACTACTCTGCATTGCAACAGAATAGCACAGAGACTGCAGACGCGAGTCCAACCTAAATGGAAGGGAAATAATGTGATGCATATGACATGAATAATTGAAGAACAGCTCTCGTAACTGAATGAAAAATAGCACAAAGCTGCACTGGATTGACTCCCTTGTCTTCCACCTTCCATCACTGTTTCCACTGATATCTCCTTCACCCCCAGCCTACTTCAGTGTGAGAAATTTGCTGATGCTTGGCAGGTGGGAAGAAGGAGGGAAGAAAAGCAGACTTTTTTTGCTAGAAGCAACAACTGAAGCATTGAAATTCATTTCTGGGGAGGGATTCTGTATAATCACAGATTTTAAAGAACAAGTTAGATCAAGTTATCTCTAGGCAGATAAACCATTCTTCATAAGGATTAAATGACAAAAGGATAAATAAATGACCTCTCAAGGTCCCTTCCACATTGTGGACCATTTTTATTTTCCAAGACCTGTCCTAACATCTACTTGCGTTAAAAATTCTACACTGCATCTGCATCAAAACTGTGGGAAGAGGAAAGGAGGCCATAACTAGCTGCAGTAAAGTGAGGGAATAAATACACATGAATTTTTCATTCAGAGGGTTCCCCCTGAATCAGATTTTTCTGTGGAAAAAAGACTGAACCAGAACTGCTTGTAAGTCTGTAATAGAGGAAGAAAAATGAGGTGACGTTAAGAATGCAAGACATTCTGGATTTGAATTTCTCACACATGGCTGCACAAAAGGAGTCTGAAATGGAGAACTGCAGAAAGCATGGCTGTATTTTTAGTGTCCGTACTCTCTCCTGTGTTCCTTGTCAAGCACGGTATTGTTTTTTCCTGCTAAAAACCTGAACTATGCATAACAAACTGAACTAAAAAACATTTATTCTTTTTTTTTAACAAGCAGAAGGGAGAATTACCAAATTCTGCTCTTTGCCTGCTAGAAAGGAAGTGCCTTCTCAGATAAAACACAAGTGTTTGATCCAGAAATCCCATCTACTAAAAGAAGAAATATGACCTGAAAACAAGATACAATACAACCTACTATAAGAACTCAGTTCAATACCACAGCACAACTGCTGCTTCAGTTTAGAGAGCCACTCTCTGTTAAACCACTTAGCAAATCCACAAAAAAAAAAAAAAATTAATTCCCTATTATGTTCTAAGTCTCTAACACAGAAACAGCTGCACTGAATCAGTTAAAAAGTCTACAGAGAACATTCTCCCTCCAGCAATGGCTACAAGCTATATGAAGCTATTCTGGGACTACAGCAAGGTAAAATGAATAGCTTTATGACCTGTAAACCCAGCAAGATCTAGTTTCCTTTGACACTGTCTCACAGCCAGAGTCCTAACCTCTAATAAATGCCAAGCTCTGATCAAAGTTGCCCAACTCCTGTCCTGCATGCATGTTCTTCTTTCCAGCAAAGCACAATGAGTTCATGCTACAGGTTCTCTCCTTGGGTTATTACTAAGGTTCTCTCTTTTTTGTCCAGCTGCTCATGCTTTTGCAGCTCTCAAGAACTTCCCATCCTTGAGATAAAGGTCCTCCAAAATTGGTTGAGCTCCACAGCCTGAAGTCAGCTGTTAAGGAAGGAAAGAGCACAGCTGCCTGCACTAGCAGATAAAACTTGTAAGAAGAAACTGAAAACATGCTTCTTTGTATTTCAGTGACTTCAAGTGAGGCCATCTCTTTATCTTTATAAACAGCAATTACTCTACCAATGTAAAAAAAACAATGAAACAAACAAAAAAAATTAACAAGCTGACAATCTGAAGTGCATATGAATCAGCTCTTGGTAAGCCAAATACCCAGCTCAGCAGGTAATTACCTTTCAAATTCTTTCCCTTCACATCTGTTTTTGAAAAATGAAGCTACATATATCTTGTACTACCCACATTATCCCATAAAATTAAGCACTGAGTATACCTGTAAAACATGTTTGACCTGTTTCCACAAGTTCTCACTTAAAGGACAGTTGAATTGTTAGGAAAAAAAAAGGGGGGCGGGGAGGGGGGTAATTGCTGAACAAACATGCAATTTTCAATGGAATTACTGCAAGATCTTTTCCCACACAGCTCCTGACAAACGAAATGGAGGATCAAGAGCAGAGAACCACACCAGTAGATGTTTTCACATCTGAAAGAGAACAGCAAATCCTTTCAAGTTACTCTGAAGCTCTTCAAGTGACATTACAAAGAGCAAGTCAACAGTCTGGGATTTAGAAGAGATGGCTGAAGTGGGAACAACTGCTCCACAACCCATCACATCTACTCCAACACAGCACAGAAACACACACCAGAAACCCTCAATCACAAAAGCAAGCTCTCTACCTGCCAGAATATGAAAGGGAGGGAAGCAGCTTTAAGAAGATATGCAAGATGTTAAAGAGGAAGAAAAATTTTCCTTACTACCAAGCTGTATAACCCCAACAATGACAAATCACTTCTGGGGATATCAAGTCTGCAGCCGCTTTGGGGCTGTCCTGTTTATTTGTTGTGACCTTTTCTTTTTCTTCCAAAAGATTAAAGAGAATAAATACAAGATTTAAAGAGATGAGAGAAAACAAAGGAACAAGGATCTCACAAATACATTCCTTATGTTGGGTTAAATACACTTCTGTTTTTCTTTACTTTCATGGCTACTTTTGACCTTATTCCTTATATTGCTTTCACACAATTCTTACTGTATGACACAGAGGGAGCAAAACAGTTGTGGCACAGTTTCCTGGTTCCAAAATTGTTCCTCTTGGTCACACTACCTACACTAGAGAAGAGTTTTCTTTACAAGGCATTTTGTGAAAGTCACTGATTAATTTCCTGGAAGTCTCATATATTATACCAATTTTTTTCTACTTTTGCATGGCTAACCTTAAGAAGTGAAGCTGTTAGAGCCTCCCAACACTGAAACTGTCATGTCATTACCACATTTCACCAGTTTAAAACCCCTACATACTATTCAATAAAACACTCCTGTCCCTATTCATTATTTCACTTCATAAAGCATCATTAAGCTGAAGCATAATTTTGATACTTATTACTTTTCACAAGATTATCTAGGTTATCTACATGACCAAAGGGATAAAAATAAAGTAGGCATTTACAAATTTCTGCACAATAGCAGAAACCAAAAAGTTATTAGACCAGTCAGATCCGCAACTGAAACTCTAAATGCTACAAAAGCAGAGATTTGGATTTAAATTAGTTATGCAAAAATATCTGCTTATGTCCAATACCACTTTTCTGTAGAATGAAATGCTTTTTACAGATCAATGACATTCAACATCTTTGCAGCGCTAGTTTGTCCATCATAAAAAAAGCTGAACTAACAAGCTGGGAAATTACTTTTCAGTTGACTATTTAGATCAACTATTAAACTGCATCTTTTCATGTAAGCAGGTGGATGTGAATGGATTCCTGTTACATGCATTGCCTGCGTTTTGAAACTGGCCTATTTGTAGCCTGTTACATCTGAACAACTTCCAGAACATTAAGAGACCAACTGAACTAAGGATATATGAAATCACCCAGAGGAAATGCATTTTGGAATGAAATACACTTCCAAATTAAGCAGTCACTGTGTTCTTGTAATCCTGGACACCCTGGCACACAGCACTAAGGAAACTAGTGCCACTGAAGGGACTACTAACCCCTCTGAAGTACTACTGTAACCCAAGTATTTTATTACTCAGGGCTACAAGTCCACAAGATGCTGAACGTTACTAGAAGTTGAATGCAAAGGACAGCTGTTTTACTCATTTCAGCACTAAAAACTTGAGGTTACAGGGCAAGCTGATACATAGGAATGTAATACATACCTGTCTAAATTTAGCTCTAGCCTCCTTTTCCTTCATTCTTCCATGTGCAACCAGATAGTCAAACACTTCCCCTACAATTCAATAACAAGATACATTAACATCAATTTCCAAACGTAGAGATTTTCTCTAGCAGTTGCCCACAGCAGCTTCACTGAAACGTACTTCAAGTTTATGATCACAGGTTAGCTTAAGAGAACAAGGCACAACTGCTATGCAATTTATTACACTGTCATCTCTACACAATAATAACTGCGTATAGAAAAAAAAAATTTCTTCCCATTATTTGTGATGGGAATTGAGCAACATACTTCTGTTTTGTGAATAAAGATCACACAAGTCCCTTCACAGACTTTCTCACAATGATCTTCTTTCGTCCCATAAAAAAAGTTTCATATATGAGAATACCTCATGATATTTGTAAACACTGTCATACAAGCACTAGAATTTTTCTTTGTGCATGTGCATAAAATGTTTCTAATAAAAATCAGAAACCTTAGCTTTAACGTAGGCTTGGAAGAGGTACCTGTAAGGAACGTCACAATAAGGAGCCTAGCTGGACACACTGACATAACCCATCACAGAACCACCAGATCTGTAAGATACACTGGAAAGTATTACTCCTGAACAAGCCCAGTGTTGTACGGCTGTGGATGACTAAAGTAGATTACTAAAGCAGTACTAAAGATCTCTTGTGTTTGGGCATTTTTTCATTTAGTCGATTTATAGCACATCAACGTGGACTACAACATTTTAACTTTACAAGCAGCGAACTCGCTCATGAAACACTGACATGTTTGTGAGAGCAAAACCAAGTCATGTACGTAAGAACATAAGAACTCCTACAAACACAGACTAGAGGCAGCTTTAAAAATTCTTTGCTAATATGCAAAATTAGTGGAAACTTTAGAAGTGAATCACATATGTAAACTCTCTAAGAAAAAAAATGTTTTGTAGATAGCCACCTCACAAGGGCAGAGCTGAGTAACTCCATTTTTTGAACCAAGCAACTCCATCCAAATGGAATAAAAACCCCAGAATCATACAGCAGGAAAAGTTGAGCTGAGCAATCTGAGGGAATGTGAGGATTTTCTATAAAATAGCTTAACTTCTCTCTGTAGTGTATTATTTAATACCCAACTCAGATGATGTTCCCAGCTGTATTTCACAGCTTTTTCTTCAAAAACCTTGAAGGAAGAATTCAGGAAAAATTACAACACAGAAAGACTTGTTCACAATTTATGCAAAGTGCTACAGTTGTAGCAGTAGTTTCTTTCGTTATGCAGCCTAGAATTTACATGCATCCTGTGTACCCAGTATCTTGATACAGTGGAAATATGGGAAATTGATGCCTACCACTGAGATTACAGGTGTTCCTGTCTTGCACAACATGGCACATGCAAAGGGTACTGCTCATGGCCATTTAGACCAGTGAGGATGTACCTCTCGATTACTATGAGGAAGAGACTCACTGCTTTAGAGATCTGCTGGCCTTCCTACCTCCTAGAAGCTAATCACTAGATGGCAATAGGTCTTCGCTTTTAAGTCTAGTACCACCAAACAGCATACAGATGTCTCCACAAGCACCTGTACCAGTCAATATTTTAATAGTATTTTACAAACTTTGTTTTTGTTTAGACAAATCGTGGCTGAGCATTTAGGGAGCTGCTAGAAGAAAACACAGGCAGGTAGAGAATCATTACCTGATTTATAATAACTCATTAAACTTCACAAAATCTAACATCCAAGTCAGAATTTAATGATGATTTTCTCTGAAAAGAAGCCTATCTCCCTCCCAAAACTAAAGAAAAGCCTCTACTATTTTGAGATTACCAGCTACTCATGCTAAAGGGTCACACTGATAAAATGAGTGCTATTAGGTTTTAGCTAGCAAGGAGTAATTTAAGCCCAAATACCTTACTTCTAGGTCTGGCGAAAATGTCTGACATGGCATAATGAATGCTTTCACCACCCCTACCAATCAGGAATGTTTCAGTTCTTCCTACAGTGGTGTAATGCTAAGCCTACAGCTCTTGACAGCAGAAGGTCTGTGATTAAGCCATGTCAAATGTCATCGACATCTAAAAAAAAAAGAAGTTGCAGTACTCATGCTTTTGAAAGCAACAGCTAAATGAACACAAAATGTTTTATGTTTTTATGGTTTTACCAATTATCTTATACAAAATAGGACACCACAGGCAGGGAGCAAAGTACAATAAATTGAGAAGGTTGGTATTTGTTAGGGACGGGAACAATCGATGGACGAATAAAGATTCCCATTAAATTTCAGCTGTGAAAATAAAGCAAATGTTATTAAACTGCAGTAAGTTCAGAAGTTAGTTTTACCTGATTATATTGCACAAAGAAGTCCCAGAGAATATTAAAGATTTTGCTTAATATTTTACACTACCATTACATTAATATTTGCTGAAAGAGAAAGCAAAACTTTAAAAAAAACAAGTGCTTTCTCCCACTTGACAGTTTATTTATATGTGTCACCGCAGTAGTTACTTACCCCCACTTGCATATTCCATTATTAAATAGAGAGTTTTGTCAGTTTCAATGACTTCAAATAGCTTCACTAGAAAAGAAAGCCATTTATTAATCAGTTAACTAGTTGCAGAAGTATTATGTTAACCCCATAGAGAATTCTGTCAAAGAAACAAACTACTTGCTTACTGCTTGACTACATCAGACTATTACCCTAAAGAAGCCTGTTCTGTTCTTAAATGGAAAATACTGTCAACTCATGCAGAACAAATTTTCTCAAGAAACAATACTTTGTTTCCCACACATGGGAAAAGTAACTGAAACAGAACTTCAAAGATCTGAGCATCAGAAATAGCCCTTTTTATGCATTGAACTGGCACACATGGTGACAAATGAGTTATCAATCAGTTTGCTACCAGTCCCGTAACAACACTATATCATTTCAAAGTATAATCCAAAACAACTTTCTGATCACTTTTTAGTTTTGGTATATGTTTATTTTTAATGAGAGCCTGAATTCAGTCAAAATCAGTATTACACTCAAAAGGAACAAAATTATCAGCTATACAGCAACAGTTTTATGCAAAGGGACCAAAGTGTTCTGGGTTTGGTTTGTTTGTTTGAATACACAGCTCTGAAAAAGTATTTATTACTGCTACCCTACATGAAATTTAAACCCTAGAGCAGAATCATCTTCTAAAATCATACCACAACAATTTTAACAGTGAAAATGCTAAATTTCTCCTTATGTGAAAGAAACAAGATACCTATATTTGGATGATTTAAGATCTTCATTATTCTTACTTCTCTGAAGAGCTGAAATAAACATAAAACAAGTAAGTTAATAAAATAGGTAAAACCCATTCTTTCTAAAGCCTGATCATTTTCATAATACTTAAACACAAAGGGCAAATATTACTATTAGCATATCAGTGAATTTCATGAAATAAACACTTACTGGAAGGAAGAGTTAAGTGCCTGCTTCTTTTAACACCCCTCCCCAAACAAATTAACCCTCAAAAAACTGAAAACAACCACGAAGCACTCCAGACAGCTCACAAGAGAAGTGATCTTAGCTCTGTGATTCACAGATGTTTGGGGCCAGAAAACCATTACGAGCCCACGCAGCTTCTTGCTGGCCAGTAGGCCAGTATATCTCACATCATCTTTCACCCCTTCACAGAAAATACTGTTTCCAAAGTTTTGTGAATCCTCACCACAGCACCTTCTGCAGACCACTACAGCATGTTGCTGGTATGAATTCACCTCTTTTCAGTACTTCATTAAAGCCATGGAACTACTGTGCTACAACAGGACCTCACAGGTGAAAAATCAGCTGCTTATATTGCACAAAAAGTATGCTATCCAACTACACCAACAAGTAGGAAGTTTTTAGGAGCTGAGAAGGCGAGGCTCTCCTTTGGTCATTCAGAAGTGTTCCTGTGAGGCAACTGAGACACGGTAGCATCTAGTCTTGAGTTTGTCACTGCAGCTCCATTGACTCACTGCCAGACATCCAGCCTTTGAGCCTGCTTAGCCAGTACAACACGCTGAACGTACTTGCCAAAATTAACAGACAGAATACAGTGTTTTCTCTGACCCCAGCAGACAGAAGAAACATCATTACTTCAGGGGTTGAGTCTCAAAGGGATCAGCTTGCTCCCACCCTCTTCACCATCTACCTTCCCATGCTACAGGACTGTACTGCTTTCATTTATGTAAGCATTGGTGTCAACCCAGACTGACTCACAAGGTCCATGAATTAATAGAAAAATTTCACAAAACACACAACTCTCCCAAATAAAAACACTCTACCTCTCAAGTTTCCTGCCCGGGTCCCTTGCCCACCTCAGCACATCTGTTTTGGCAGGACAGGTGGTAAGTAAGTCTAACTGCCCATTTGACATCAACCCTAATGCCTTTACATCAACAGTGCTGCATCCAGAGACCACATATTGATTGTAAGGATCTTGGCTCTCCCCCCACAGCCTCTCTCCCCACAGCACCAATACCCACGTGAAGGGTTTGCTTGAGCTGTTACTTCCAAAGAGTTCAACTCTGCCTGTCACACACAGTAAACTCTGTCCTCCTGCAACTGGAGGATAATACAGGAATGACATATTATTAACAAACCACAAATGAAAACAAAATCTATTACTGATCAGCTGTTAATTATCTTCCCCTCTGTAAACTCTTCTGCAGCAGACAATTAGAAGATGCAAGTAAATCTGCGTGTAATACTAAAAATGTCATAGGTGGTGTTACTGCAATATAAAACACTGCTTTTAATCAAGTTGGTTAATAGCAGATTAAATAAAAGTAGTTCCACTTCTTCCAGAAAAGACCCAAGATAAAAAGAAATACCACTACTACTATTATTGAAGTGCAAATGTTATTGTATTTGGAAAACCCCCAAAATTCTCTTTTTAGGCAGTATGCTACATGGCAGTTAAGAGTGTAGCTGTTCTGCTTCTGCAGCTCCCCCCTTGCCAGCCCGACTCCAGAGGGGTTGATGTTCTTAAGCGCTGATTATTTTCTAAGAGCCCACTTCAAAAAGAGGGCATAATCAAGAGGTTTTATAATAAACCTAACGTCAACTTCTACAGAAATACCAGCAACATAACAGATCATACTGAACTTAATGTAAAGAGACTGAATCAGAATGAAAGTCCACAGCTCCACAGGAATGCAGACTTAAGAGAAAAGAGTTTTGTAAATAAGAGATAGCAGCACTGTTATAAACAGTAAGGAAGCAAAAAATGCTGCTGCACTATTTGCCTCAGGTCAGATTTCAGATAAAGACATTTAGTATGTCTGCTTATTACTAATGACTCAAAAAAATCTATAGGTGCACTTACTCAATAAAAGCAAAACAAAGTGAAACACAGGAAACAAACAGAAAACAACCAAACAGTCAAACCAAAATCTTTGTGCCTTTGTGTCTTTTAATAAAAGAAAATGAGAGGTGGGATGTAAATAAATAAATAGGAAAAAAAAAAACCCAAACAGACCAGAGATCAGCTCTTCTAACCATTCTCTGCTTTCTGATGTTTCTGCAAAGGCTAAGATTTGCGGAGCGGTCCTCACTGCACTCCTCAACAGACCTCCTCCCCCATGTGAAGAAAACAGTACCTGGACGCAAAGAAAAACCAAACAGCTTGCCAAATACATTTACTTATCATTATCCACGTCTGTGCCTGACATTTTGCTAGATGACAAGCTGCTCAAATGCAATCAGGATTGATTGATCAAGTCTATTTTTTTGGCCATGCAAAGTAATTTCAAAACCTATGCATGTGTGTTTTCTTTTTCTCCAGAGGCACAAGTAATCTGCCTATTTTTTAAAAATCTATGTTATTCCTGGAGCTTTTTCATGTATCATTAGACAAGGTAGGCTACTTCACCATCACTCTCTTGATCAGCAGAAATTTAAAAGCACTTGAATCCGTAACTATTTTTTGCTTATTTTTTCATTCACTTCTGCTGAACTTGTGTATAATATACTCTGAATACTCCACTAATACTTTTAATGGAAGCTTATATAACTGAAAGCCTCTGGTCAGCTTTTAAAGTTTGGAAGAGTTTGCTTAATTCACTCTCAACTGACTGTTGGTATCTTCCACCCCCAATACTCAGATAAAGTCTGCTGGGTCAGAATCTCATCAAGGGTAACTCCACTGTTGATGCTACAAAAGATTCTAAGCAAACATCCTTAGTCTGCTACACAAATAGATTCTAGATTCAGAGAATCATAGAATTGGTTGGGTTAGAAAGGACCTTAAAGTTGGTCATCTAATTTCCACCTCTCTGCCACACACAGAGACACCTTGCACCAGATCAGGCTGCTGAAAGCCCTGTCCAACATGGCCTTGAACACTGCCAGGTAAGGGGCAGCCACAGTCTCTGGGCAACATCTGACAGTGTCTCACCACTCTCATTATAAAGAATTTCTTCCTAATACCTAATCTAAATCTACCCTCTTTCAGTTTAAAGCCATTCCCCCTTGTCCTATCCCCACATGCCCTTGTAAAAGTCCCTCTCCAGCTTTCTTGTAGACCCCCTTTAGGTACTGGAAGGCTGGTAGGTGGTCTCCCTGGAGCCCTCTCCAAATTGAACAACCCTATCTGTCTCAGCCTGTCTTCATAGGAGAGGTACTCCAGCCCTCTGATCATCTTGGTGGCCCTCCTCCGGACTCACTCCAACAAGTCCACGTCATTCTTATGTTTGGGGCCGCAGAACTGAAAGCAGTACTCCAGGTGGGGCCTTAAGAGAGCAGAGCAAAGGGAAAGAATCCCCTCCCTTGACCTGCTTGCTGGTAGCACTCCTTTTGATGCAGCCCAGGACATGCCTGACTTTCTGGGGTGCAAGCGCACACTGCTGGCTCATGTTCAGCTTTTCACCAATCAACATCCCCGAGTCCCTCTCCTCAGGGCTGCCCTCAAACCACTCTCTGGTCAGCCTGTATTTGTGCTGGGATTGCCCTGACCCAGGTGCAGGACCTTGCACTTGGCCTGTTGAACTTCATGAGGCTCTCAGAGACCCACCTCTCAAGTGCGTCAACGTCCTCAACCTTTTCTTGCAGTTTTTAAAATACTGATTGACCCATGGTCAGAAAGAGCATGGTCCATGTTAAAAGTGATGATTAAGAACTCTGAAAAGCTTTAACAAAAAAATGGCCCAAACGAGTGGCAAAACATCTGCACATAATGAACAAAAAATATTTGGCTGAGGAGCCAAGATCAAAAAAGGAAAATGAGAAGTGATATAGTACTAGTACAAGGGCTTGGTAAAAAAGCCCAAAACCTTACATATAATGGCATTGCTAATTCAAAAGAAAAAAAAAAAAGAAAAGAAACCCAAAAAACTGCATTTTTTTTTTGTCTAGGAGGAAGTGAACTACTACATCAGCACTTGTTTCCAGTGAGACCAATACTGGAACTGGGTACACAAGTACGTTTGCGGACAACAGGCATTATGACTAACACCACCAGCATGGGAAAAAAGCTCTAAGAATTCCCTTTTCTTTCAAAGCAGGGAAGTATCAGTTACAGTTTCCTCTTCACTAAGCAAGAGCAGCAGAGTAGTAATTAGGTCCTAAAACAACAGTTAAGAGTAGCTGCATGTGGCTACCAGACTTCCTCAGTGGCAGACAAGAAACCCAACTCTTCTGAAGAGCTGCACTGTTGAATATTGAGCTGTGAGGACTGCAGCCACCCACAGCTTACTGCAAGGGCATACTAAGAATTACTGCTCCAGAAAGCAAAGCAAGTCCTTAACAAGGTTAACTTCCTTCTGGCAGCTGAAGTATCAGTGTGGAAGACATACTACAAAGAAATCAGAACTGGCAGCCTTAATTGCCATTTGTTTCCCCACCTAAGGATGACAAGGCTACACTGCAACTGAGACACCAAGCACCACACCCTTGACTCAGAGCAGCCCTTCCCTCTCCACCATACCTCAAATATTTTATCGCTCTCTCCAGCAGCACAACGACAAGAAGCACTTCCATCCTAGCTTCCCTGCATCTACAGGCTGTGTGCGCAACTGGCTTCAAAAGCAACGAGTCTACGGCACTGCTGACAGTGGTGCAGGAAAAGAGGCAAGGGTTTGCAAAAAAAGCCTTAACCAAGGAAAACTGCTATGTAGTGTTGTGCATTCACTCTGCTTACTGTGGCAAACAGGCATTTAAGAAAATTCGTTTCAATTTTTGAATTGAGAACAGACATACCTTGCTAAATTTTCTTCTGTGCTCATATAACAAATGAGCTTAGAGAGGGCAGGACATCAGCAATCTCACTCCCCAAATTTGATCTGATTTCTACCCTGCTGTTTTGTACTATTCTTCCAGACTCCATTAAAGAAAACAAGACCAATTTACAAATTTTATAAATTGTAAATAAAAATGAAATTACAGATACACAAGAGGACACCAAGCAGGCTGAAACCCAGAAACCAAAGGGCCCAAAGGGCCAACAAGCACACTTCCAGCTTGTGGCTTTGCTAGCTGAACCTGTGACTTGTAAAGCATTTGCTCTGTACTTTAATACGAGCTCAAGCTAGCCCTGTGGCCCAATGTCAAGACAACAATATTTGAAGGGTTAAGATTTTACATTTTTGATTGAAAACAAAATGACCTCTCTACTTTTCTCTGACCATGCTTCCCATGCCCTGAACCCTCTCCTTCATATCACACAGCTTTTGTTCTTCTTCCAAATGCTCCGAGAATTTAGTAATTTTTTCAGGTCTTCCCAGTTGCACAGATCTGCCACACAAATCAACTCCACCTAATCCACGGTATTACCTAATTTGCATTTCACTTCCTCTCTGCATACCCAGAAATCACCAATAACTACAGAGATTAAGCTGAAAAAGAAATAAAAGAGAAAACTGGAACCACATTATCTGCTTTTACCCATTCTACAGAATCAGCAGGAAGCTGATACCTGCTCAGATGAGAGAACCTTTCTTCTATAGGCTATTCTTTGCCTCTCAACCAAACCATATAAGGTAAGAACTTGTGTGTTTTTCCAGTTTACTTTTGCAGTATTCATTTTGATAAAAACATCTCGTTGCACGATCTCTTTAGTATTTGCATAAGATCCGAATGTGTATATTCTCCAGTTTACTCTAGTTATGCTATTTTGTTTGCAGGTAGTTCTGGGCATTCTCTCATTCAAACAGAAATATTGCAAGGAGCTTTTTTTATCAAAGTACTCAAAAGTAAATAAAAAGCTTTTTGACTACAGCACTTAAAAGGACAGAGTTAGAAAAGTCCTAGGTAAAAGGAACATTTAAATGTACTTCCTGTAGGCACTCCAAAGCAGACCGGTTGCCTTGATCAAAGAGCAGGATTGATCACTACTTACTAAAATAGATAAGGCAATACAATTGTAACAGCACACATTAAACATTTGAGGCTAGAGGGAAGAAACCAGAATAGCCATGCCCCAATTCATTCCATAAAACTGCATCACCTCTCCTGCTGCAAACTACATGAAAGGCATAGATACTACCTGGCCTCCAGCACACAGGCAGTATTTTCAAGTTTAAGAGGACAGAAGGTAAGCTTTCTATTTGTAAGTTTAACAAAGTGACCCGCATGAAGAAGACATGAGGACATAACACCATGTACACAGCTCTGTACGAGTTCACCTTGAATAACTGTAGGGTTGTCAAAAATATGTTACAAAACTAGTTATTAAATACTGTAGTCAGATGTGTGCAACGTATGCAATGCTTCAGATTCTCCAGCACAGGCATTCAGGGTTAATAGAAAGTGGGAGTGAAAAAAACAGTGCGGTTGGAAGATTAAATGCAAAAACCTACCTTTTGTAGACTAGTTGGGTTCAACTGTGTTTTGTCAATTATTTTTATGGCAACCTAAAGGAAGAGTTCATAATCAGTATTTTCCATGTGAACACTGCAGCATTATTACAAGATGGTCAAATCCAGTAACACAAATTGAAAACATGAACGTTATACAAGAAACCACTCAGTTTCTTCAGCCAATTATGTACTCATATTTGAAGTAAAAACATTTGAAATTAACAGCTAAACTGTAATTTATTTCTACTGCAACAAACTAAACAACAGAGTGGAAAACAAAACCTCCTGAGTATTTTAAGCATACTAAGATGAGAATCCCTCTTAGTCTTTTGCTTGACATTGAGACCATCATGCTTACAACAATGGAAGCTCCAACACCAGAAAGTGCCCAGATAGAGAGCAGTGTGCCTACAGGTAATAGTTACGTAGTGTAATTACACAACAGATTACAGAGTACTGACTGAGCATTGGCAGTTTGTGAAGATGCTTCTAAAAACAGAGATTTCAGAACAAAGTAATTCCAGACAGATTTAGCAGGAACTAAGTTCACCTTTGGAAATTCACTGAATATTTGTATCAATTTGCTCCCTGATGGATATGAAAAGAATTATCACTCATTCATCAAGAGAACCCCACTGGTTGTAGTACAATGATTTGGGCAAGTTCACTCCTTTACTGGTTCTCATCTTTTCATTAAATACTGCACAGAAATATGAAAGAGGAACACAAAAATTTCACAAAATAATCAAAACCTAAATTCAGTACCATGGTTAACTAGTCATAACCTGATGATTTGAGGCAATGAACAGGCAAAAGACTAGCTTCAGTGCAATGCAAGTTGGATACAGGACGAGTTAGAACAGGAAACGTGAATCTTTCTAGAATTACATGCCAACTGGTATTTTTCCTTTCTAAATTAAAGACTAAACATACCAGAAGAAACTCTACAGAAGCCAAGGAGATGGTGTCTCTCTAAGAAGCAAGATGCTGCAACTCAGCTGATTATAATACCTCACTGGTGCAAAGCAAGGGCTTTCGATTCCCCTTCAATTTTTGGCTCAAACAGTATATGCTGCTACTCCCCATGCCACATCTCCAGTTTCCCTGCATCACTTTGTGCTGTCTTTCTCATCTCATTAACTTGGGGTTAGTAACATATGGAATAAAGAGTATCTTACATCAAAGCAAATTCATATTCATACACTCAAAGCACAAAAAAAACACATGGATGGATCATCATGATGGAGAGAGGAAGAGGGGAACAGAGCGTTCAATGCTTGGGTGCATCACAGAATTGTGTGACGGATATGGTGTTTTCTGAAACTGAGCTTCAAGATTTATTTTGAGCCCTTCTAGATGCAAGATTTGATGATACATCACCAAAAAATCATTTAAGAATACTTTTGCTTTGGGGAGTATTTTCTTCTAAGGTATGCTACTGAAATTAAAGATCACTATTTCCAGAGGCAGAATTCCATTGCAAAACCCCTTGAGAAATCACTTCAAAAATACAAATAAACACATTAAGCAATAGGTATTTTTACATTAGCAGCTGTGTACGAAACCAAGAAAGATTTTTATCTCTACCTTTATGCCTGTTGAACTATTGTCATGAAGGTAACAAAGTTACTCACTTCCTGCAATCCCTTATAAATCCATGTTGGACATAGGATAAGCACTGCCCTTGTCAACAGCAGATGTTATTTCAAAGTCAGTTGGTGTCCCAGGACTGCCCATGCCACAGAAAATGGCTGCTTGCTTGGTAAGTGCATTCCACTCAGAAAAAGGTTGCAGTTCTGTGCTCTAAACTGTAATGATTATGGTCAATCTTTGGAAGATGTAAGATTATAACCCATGAGGTCTTAAGGTTATTGGGTTTCTGCAAAACACAGCTCACCTCTCTCACTTGTGCATTGGTGCCAGATGATCAGAGAGGTCTCTCACATTGGCAAACAAAGTCAGCCCTGGAGATACAGGAGAGGTACACACCTCAGTTTTCTTAAAGGCAGACTCACAGGCCTGTTCAGTGCACTAATTATGGCCTTAGAGGCAGGACGAATTTAGAGAATTCCTATTCATGTGAACACTGAGAGTACAATGTGTCAACACTGGCTGTGAGAGCTTGAACCCATCATCAGAACAGGCACCAAATTCAGGTGTCTTGATAAGGTCTCCAAATCACAGGCAAAGGGAACCTACCCCCAAGAATAGTTCTGACGAGACTGAGAAAGAAAATCCTCCATTTTACTAAGCACAGTTAAAAAAGTTCAAATTGCCTTCCACTCTGCTCTCTTTGCACAAAGTGAATCTGGAACGGTTTCAGGCATTGTGTGGTATGGCCAATGCTGGAGGAACACAAGTCCACCTACACTGTTACACCACTGCATCATCTATTATATTCTGTGTGAGATCGTCAGTGGAATTAAAATTAACTTTGCTTTCACCATTCACAATAACACGACTTAAAACATTCCTCCTACATTACTTGAATGAGGGAGTTAAAGCAATCAGAATTTGAGACACTGAGCAAACTGGCCAAACTGCTACCATTCAGAATGTTTTCTTGCTCTTAAATTTCACTTTTTCCAAGAGAAGAACAGAAAGAAGATGACAACAGATTCCCTGGAGTCAGACTTGGATCCTGAAAGAATCCTGTCTCACTAGGAAACTTCAACTTCCTGGCTATTAACTGAACACATGCTTTTAATGAACAGAAGGATCCATACATTTTTGGCTGTGATTCCAACCACCTCAGTAACAGCAAAAGGTAGTTTTATCTCTTAAATTGATTTTGCAAGTATGAAAAACTTGCCAGAAGAAATAACCTTTGATAAATTACAACAGAAAAGACATGGCTTAAAGTAAAAGAATTAACAAAAGCAGGTTTACAGTGAAGACTTTTTGTTTTGAAAGAGCAGACTTGAATAGTACTCTTCTAGACAGAAGATCTTGAAGGAGTGTTTCCAAACACCAGCTCTAGTGCAGTGAAACTAACCCCACCTCCGTAACTCTGCAGTGAGAAGCCCACACACCTCTTGGCAGGACAATTCAACTTCCTCAGTTAGGCTGATGCTCTGATCACCCCCCAAAGGGCAAAACATTTCTCCCTTTCCGTAATTTGAGGCTGGGCTCTTAACATACATGCTGCAGGCACACTGAAGATGGAAATGAAAGCCCTGGAACTCGGTCCAGTTAGAAACATGAAAGCTGCATCTCAAGCAACAGGAAAATTCATACTGAAGGACTCCAGGTATAAGGAGATGAGCAACTACCCTAGAAGAATGCTTGAACAAACATACCATCCTCCCAAGAAGTGCCAGAGAAGTGCTGATATGCTGCATGATTTATTCAGAAGTTAATCAGTGCAGAGATATAAAGAGGGAATTGCCATAAAGTGTAATTGAACTGAAGACTTAAAATAACATCAAGAATAGCCACACAGATAACAAAAAGAAATAGAGTTCAAATACAGCAAGTATACAGCAGAGATTAAAAGTCCTTTAAGTGTGACTCCCAAAGCTAGTATTTTATTGTAGGTTTTGGTACATAAGATGGAAAAAAGAAGAGGAACAAAGACAGGACAGCCAGTAGGAATGAGTGTGTAAAGCCAGAAAACACAGATTCAGGAAGATGAGTGCTGCATAGCTGAGGCCAGACTGAGAACTTTATCCCTGAATTCTGAAGAGTGGCAGGTTTAAAATGGGGGGAAGGGGAGGAAGGCATTCTTGTAGCATGGATTTCCAACATCTATCAAGAACAAAATGGCAGCAACAGGTTTAGAAATTACCAGTCGTCCCCCGTCCCCTGTCATCCCCCCCCCAGTAGAGCCATTTACCACAAAATTCTTGAGCTCAAAACTCACAAGGGTAAATACAGAGACACAGGCAGAAGGGTTAAATGAAACACATTTTCCCAAGTTAATTCTGCCCTAGGGAGACAAACAATGTATGACTACCTGGACTACTGTAAAGCCTCATCTAGGAGGATGCACAGAAATTACTGACCTAGATGAGGTGAAATGTGCACAGAGCTTTTTTTAATTAAAAGAAGTGGCTAAAGAGATACCAAGTTGGAAATAAATGAGTAAGAGTTTTTCAAGGACAAGACTTAGGACCAATCTTGTTTAGTATCTGTATCAGTGGCCTTGGCACATAAAGTCAAACCATAAGGATTAAGTCTGTTGAAGGAATTAAGATGCACTATCAAATACAATGGAAAACTGATATAAACAACCTTGGAGATGAGTTAGCAAAGAAAGCAAGATTCAGTGAAGTACAAAGTGCTGCTGCTCATCAGTAGAAACATCAATGTGACAGCCATGAAAAAGGTTAACACCATCTAAAGACTGATGAGGTAAATACTTCTGTAAGGGCACAAGTAAACTAATGACACTGCTGCAAGCTCAGGAGTGTTGCATCCCAACCAGAAGGAAGTGCAGCAGGAGGGCCAGGAGACCTCCTTGGATGGATAAGGAGCTCCTGAGGAAAATTCAATTGTAAAAAGAGGCTTACAAAAAGTGGAAGCAAGGACAGGTGGCATGGGAAGAGTACAGGGATGTTGTCTGAGAAGCTAGGGACCAGGTTAGGAAAGCTAAGGCTCAGTTAGAATTAAACTTAGCTAGAGGTATTAAAGATAACAGGAAGGGATTCTACAGGTATGTAGCAAATAAAAAACAGAGTAGGGAGAATGTAGGCCCCCTCAGGAAGCTCTCAGGAGAACTGGCTACACAGGATTTGGAGAAGGCTGAGGCTCTGAATGACTTCTTTGCCTCGGTCTTCACTGGCAAAGGCTCTGACCAAACCACCCAAGTCTTGGAAGGCAGACACAGGGACTGTGAGAATGAAGACCTTGCGCCCACTGTAGGAGAAGAACTGGTTCGAGACCATCTTAAAAATCTGAACGTGCACAAGTCCATGGGACCTGATGAGATCCATCCGCGGGTCCTGAAGGAGCTGGTGAATGAAGTTGCTAAGCCGCTGGCCATCAGATTTGAGAAATCATGGCAGTCGGGTTAAGTTCCCGATGACTGGAAAAAGGGAAATATAACCCCCATTTTCAAGAAGGGGAAAATGGATGACCCGGGGAATTACAGAGCAGTCAGTCTCACCTCTGTGCCTGGCAAAATCTTGGAGCACATTCTCCTGGAAGGCATGCTAAGCCACATGAAAATCAACAAGGTGCTTGGTGACAGCCAGCATGGCTTCACTAAGGGCAAATCCTGCCTGACCAATTTGGTGGCCTTCTATGATGGGGCTACAGAACTGATGGACAGGGGTAGAGCAGTTGATGTTATCTACCTGGACTTGTGCAAAGCATTTGACACTGTCCCACATGACATCCTTATCTCTAAATTGGAGAGACATCAATTTGATGGATGGACCACTCGGTGGATAAAGAACTGGCTGGATGGCCGCATGCAAAGAGTTGTGGTCAATGGCTCAATGTCCGGCTGGAGACCAGTAACGAGTGGTGTCCCTCAGGGATCAGTGTTGGGACCGGTCTTGTTTAACATCTTTGTCACTGACATGGACAGTGGGATTGAGTGCACCCTCAGCAAGTCTGCCGATGACACCAAGCTGTGTGGTTCGGTTGATACGCTGGAGGGAAGAAATGCCATCCAGAGGGACCTTGACACACTCGTGAGGTGGGCTGACGCCAGCCTCATGAGGTTTAACCATGACAAGTGCAAGGTCCTACACCTGGGTCAGAGCAATCCCAGGCACAGCTACAGGTTGGGCAGAGAAGAGATTCAGAGCAGCCCTGTGGAGAAGGACTTGGGGGTGTTGGTTGATGAGAAAATGAACATGAGCCGGCTTCAGTGTGTGCTCACAGCCCAGAAAGCCAACTGTATCCTGGGCTGCATCAAAAGGAGCGTGACCAGCAGGTGGAAGGAGGTGATCCTGCCCCTCTACTCGGCTCTTGTGAGACCTCACCTGGAGTACTGTGTGCAGTTCTGGTGTCCTCAACATAAAAAGGACATGGAACTGTTGGAACAAGTCCAGAGAAGGGCCACGAGGATGATCAGGGGACTGGAGCACCTCCTGTATGAAGACAGGCTGAGAAAGTTGGGGCTGTTCAGCCTGGAGAAGAGAAGGCTGCGTGGAGACCTCATGGCAGCCTTCCAGTATCTGAAGGGGGCCTGTAAGGATGCTGGAGAGGGACTCTTCATTAGAGACTGTAGTGATAGGACAAGGGGTAATGGGTTCAAACTTAAACAGGGGAAGTTTAGGTTGGATATAAGAAGGAAATTCTTTCCTGTTAGGGTGGTGAGGCACTGGAATAGGTTGCCCAGGGAGGTTGTGAATGCTCCATCCCTGGCAGTGCTCAAGGCCAGGCTGGACGAGGCCTTGGGTGATATGATTTAGCGTAAGGTGTCCCTGCCCACGGCAGGGGGGTTGGAACTAGATGATCTTAAGGTCCTTTCCAACCGTAACGATTCTATGATTCTACGACACTGGGGAAATTGTTATCCAGACTATTGTGAAAATCTCTGATAACATAAATCTAAAATACGCAATTATCATCAATGCTGTACAGTTCACCTACCAAGAAGAGAAACTTTTACTCATCTATCTTACAAAAAGAAAAAAATTAAGTTTTAAATACCTTCAAGGTATTCCTATAAACTAGCTTGTTAGCTTCAAAGGAATGTTACTCATTCTAGGTTAACTAGGACCAATGGCTACATACTGGAAAATATTTAGGCTCTGAACTGATTGAATGACATTTATTTCATGAGAGTGAAAGAAACTTAATACTTGAATCTTTCAAAATCTGGCCAAAGATTTTGCACTGTCACTTTATATGGTTGAAATTTCTGACAAAAATAATGAACCAGAGGTCAGCACACAGTTAAGCGCAAGTAAAGAAAATTTACTTCAAATTTTGCAAAGCAACGTGTGACACATGCTACCTACCTCCAACTCCTATACATATAATAATAGCAAAGAAATACTAACCAAGTACCCAAGGACTTGCATTTCCTGTGTTAAGTATTAGTAATAAGAGAAGGGAACTTAAGTGGAAAGCAACTAAGCAACTAATCACAGTAGGAGTCAACAACTTTCTCTACAAAGGAACACTGACTTTAACACCAGAATACAACTGCTCATCACCAGAAGTGGCAGCTTACAAGAAACCAAAACAAATAAATAAAATCCCTCCCAACAACTCTTGCAAATTTATGTCCTCTCTGTTCCTCCTAGTGCTACTGAACTAGTATTAGCTCAGAGCAAAGAAATTCCCTTAAAGTGCTGCAGTCAGCCACATAGCTTTCTTTAGAAGTCCTTGCTGATATCAGCAAACATTTACTTCATTAGATGGATCGGCAAGAAAAGGTCAAAAAGGTGTTTCTCCCTCTTTCAGTACACAGAGTTGCTATTAATAAAAGAGCACTAAGAAATACTTGTAACAAGCAAACAGGACTACAGTTCACCAAATCAGAACCATCATTAACTGCAAGTTATTAATTGCATTGCAGAAACTAGTTATGGAGCTGAGTTAGACACTATGAAAAGATACAGGAGAAAGCTTGTCTACACCACACAACGCTGAGCAAGACATACAAACCAGCTCTGAACAAACTGGAGTGTCTTCCCAAGGCTGCCCAGCACTGCATATGCTAACAAAACTCCTGGGAGAGACATTGCTTTGGCAAGAAAATACTGTGCTTGGGCTACTCAGACCATAATCAAGAAGATATATTCATTCTCATTCCTGACTTCCCCTCCAGTAGAGCCCCAGTAGTGCAGTACAGAGACATCAAGAGGCAGTGTTTGCAGCAAGCTTAATTGCTATATATCAAACTCTATTTTGGGAACAGAGAATTTAGCAGAGAATTCTAGTAGCAAACTTGAACACAGTTCACTTGGAGAGGGACTTGTCAAAAATACAAATTTAAGAGATTATTTTTAAGAGAACTTGTTTTGTAATAATTACTGAAAGATACAGTTTTCCATTTTAATCATACATGAGTGGCAATATCTCTAGTAAAACATGCTAAAATGTTCACCTGGATGATATTATTCTGAGAGAATCTGCACACCTACTGCAATTCACTACTGTTTACATTCATACCACTTTACCTCTCTGCCAGTTAGGATGTGCCTTGCCAGTTTTACTTTTGCAAAATTCCCCTTTCCAATTGTTTTAAGGAGTCTGTAATTTCCAATATGTGGCTGCTCATCTGTGCAGGAAGCTATAGAGTTCCTGCAGCGAGCTCCAGAGCGCCCAGTCCGAGAGGAAACTTCCTGCCGTCCGTCTCCATGGGACGTGTGCTGCAATAAAAACACACACAAATAAGGCTGAGAAATAAAGACAAAACACATCAATGATGAGAAGCATACAACATGCAAAAATGTTAGCAATGCCTCTGAAAAAACCTTCAGAGGATCCAACTCACACTCCAGATTCACACTGAACTTTGCTCTGATGGGGACAATAAAGAGGTTCCAAGTTCATAACACAATATCAATTTCATCACCTGGTAAAGACCAAACGGAACATCACCTAAACTCCAGCAATAACTGAGCATTTTTAAGTAACTTACATGGGCTGCAAACCAGTTATAGAACACAGATGTATTTGTACTATTTCCTATGTTCATTACTGTGCCTAACTAAAGCAGGAAAGCCTTTGGAAAGGAGACATAAAGCTTTTCCAAAAGCACACACAATAAAATTTTCACCTTTATTGGACAGTTTAATTCTTCTGACAAAATAATAAAAGGTTTCCTTTTTTCACTAGACTACTGTTTCTGCAAAACCTCACAACTGGAAATACACAGCCTGGAGAACAAGGAAAGAAATCTTCCCTAACATACAGAAACCTCAGATATTAGTAGGCTGAGCACCAGTTACAGAGATGCTGTCTACAACCTGTTAAGTTCCCTTTACTTGGTTTCCCTGAACAGCTGTTAATAAGAATGAATGGGTATTATCTCATACCTACAACAGCCTTTATTCATCAGATTGCATGGTTAAAATACTGGTATTTTTTCATTTCCTGACAGCCTGTTTATGAAAGAGCAGGCCCCCTCATGTTCTCAGCTCATGGTTGAGCTCTATACACCAACTTCACTGAAGTATTAGTTAGAAATACTCAGTAGCCTGCCATTATGAAGCAAACATCTGGCTATACAGAATACGACATGCTAAATTCACAGCCACCCCAGAAATGCCAGATCTTGCTCTTCTACTACTACTACTCTTGCTGAAACCCAGAAGGGATAACAAAAAAATCTGTCATGCAACAACACTCAATATGAAAATCACTGTATCATAAGGATATAAGATCATAACCCAAGAGCTAACAACCATTTTGGAGGCACAATTGAAGAAATCCATGCTTACATGACACTTAGCAAGTTTCACACTTTTATTTAGTAACCTGATATAACCTTGTGACCATAAACTCTGGCATCTGGTTTGTTAATTCAAGCTCAACAGCTGTGATCAAATTCTTTTTTTTAAAAACACATTGATTTCATTTCAGAAATATTACTGATAGAAGTATATGGCAACTCTTGGAGAATAGTTTCAATAGTTAATATTTTAAAAAAGCCACACACAAATACGAGGTGCATATGATGTTTTAGTACCAAACTGGTTTTAGCTTCTCCTTACTGCATTGCTACTGCATTGTCACCAGGCCTGTACTTCCCATATAGGTACTAAATTAATATGATCACATTACTCTTTCACTTTAGTAAGTTATATTGAGCTCCCTAAACAGGCTGCTGCAAGAGTGATTAAAGACAAGGAAACGTTTCTTACAGTTCTTTTCAGAACTCTCTCCTATTTTTCCAACATGTTTTTGTGGGGCTCATGCTAGAACTGGACATGCAGTAGGATTAAATACAGAAAATGCATCTTCTGTTCAACACTCCACTGATTTTCCATGGACAGAACTAGCCTTCCTGGCAGACCAGCATCTGTACCTGACCACCCAACACTGATGCTAACTCTTTTTAAGAATTATTGCTTCCCATTCCCTTACCACATCTAATAACTTTCATTGCTGGTTCCTTACTTGCATGATCTCATTTGGCTGAAGTAAAATGCAGTTTCCTTACATGCAGGTTATTACGCGTTCCCGATGATTAGCCCATCCTGCCCTATTTAATATTCTAGCAACCTTTATCCTAGTTTTCAGGAGCAGTTGTATACATTTCTTCCAAACCCACTAATCACTGGCACAGGAACAAGAAGCACACCTGTTACAAGATCCAGTAAAATTTCAGTGCCTGATAACCGTTCATTGTTCTCAATAATATCTTGAGACCTAGAGCAACTGGGTAAGCGTTTATCAATAACGCTCAAGGAGACGGACAACAAAAGCAGTTGCTCAGGTGAAGGAACTACTAAAGCCAGTGAAATCCTGTATTGGCAATTTCACTATTTTGTATGCCCTTAATGCCAGGCTGCTGGTGATGGCTGTTCAGACCACCTTAGCCACCCCTGCATGTAGTGGCATAGCAATGCTCATCATTTACACTTCCCTGCACTTCACCTTCTAACAAACCTTGCAGCAGCACACAATGCAGAGAACTTCTCTGTCAGCTCCTTTGGTACCTTCTAGTGTCAAATTATTCAGACCAGCTAAAAAAAAACAACAACTGCTGACGCTAGATGCTAAAAGACTCCTACATTACTGGCCCAGTGATCATACACTGGGATGTTCTGTACAGGGCCGTGAGGATATTTCTTGGATATATTAGAGGAAGGCTCACTTTAAGTACAGCATCCCAGAAATACAGCTGTACTATTTACATTGCACTTCACTGAGCTGATAACCTATCTCAGTAAAAGAAGTGTATTGCAACTATTTAGACTACAGCCCTTTCACACCTGGATATATGGCACAAGCACACAAGCCGGTTTCAGCAAGTATCTGCATCTGTGCTCCCTTGCGCTTGAAATAATAAGCTGTGGTAGACCTGAGCTAGCTTATGAGGCTGTTGAGATGGAGGCATCAAATATTGTATATTCCCAAACCAGAGAATCTGCATATAGATTATTCAGAACTGATCGTACTCATATCCTACTTCATGTAAACTGAATTAGGTAAAATAAAAGAGTCCATTATATTACCAAATTCTATTCCACACAGTAAACCACCCCAGTTAATATATCTTCAGAGCTTCACTACCCTCTGTTGAGGAATGACTTCTTGTGCTCTACCATATTTTTCATGCTTTCTAGCTTTGTGCTTCCCAGGAGGAATTAACAGCTGTGAACTCATTTGGACTAGCGTTGATAAATTTAACACAATCTCCTTGTATGGAGCCTTCCATTTCCACCCTAACCCAGATCATTTCTTTTTAAGAATATGACCTTTTTCAGCTGTGTTTTTTGAATTACAAGCTGCGTGTTCCTAAGCAGTTCAGTTCTCTCCAACTGACTTGCTCATAGACGTGTTTCGCTCTGCAGAAATCTGTCTATTTGCAACCATATTTAATTTGGGCTTTATTTCACAGAATTAAAACTATCAGCAAGACCCTCCTCTGTCAACTGAACAGAACACAAGCTTTCAAATACATGAATAAAACAGCTTTCCAGTTTCAACACAGATTTTCTTTTGATTATGGAAATGAAAGAAGACGGCTTGGTAGCATATAGTACTAAAAGGCATGAACTCAGAACAGAGTGAAAGTGTTTCTACCACTGACATAATTTTCAGGAAGCCATGACAGGTAGATGGTGTAGGCAAAAAAGCAAAAATATAGATGGTCCAGAAAAGTTTAAGTCATGCATTGGCTTGGATAGCATTTGGTTGTAGTCCAGTACTTCCCAGAGCAGAAAGATAAAAAGCAAATAGATTAAAAAGCTCCCATCTCAGCCCAAAGGAATAGTAATAGTATTCTCTGCTCTCTAAACTGAGATGTAGGTCATCTGTCTTTTCCCAAGCAGACCCTCAACTCTCCTGATTTTGCCTCCCTCATCCATTGAAACACAAAGATTCTGATCAATTTCAGGCTTCTTTTCCACATCCACATTTATATGGCTTCAATAATGGGGTCTGTCCTCAAAACATGAGCTTTAAAACAAATGTGTTAATTTGTAAGTAAGTTTACACACGCTGTGGTAGGCAAGCTGTACTTCCTGGACGTGCATTCTGTGCAAGGGTAACACTCCCTTCATGACACTCACCATGGCTGAGAGATTCCCAAAATACCTGTTTTCATGAAAAAAAAGACCTTTATACTGCAGATGGGGAACCAAAGCAAGAAGACATTGTGCAGCTTCAAGCTAGCCATAGTCACCATCTCTTTTAAACGAAGCCTTCTGAAATCCACACGACAAGAAAGCACTTTCTTCTGTATCTTGGTATGCATCAGGTTCCATTTAAAAAAATCTTTTAAAATACTGTAAAGGGGGTGGGAGGTGCACATAGTAGGAGGGCTCCCTAAAAAAAAACTATCAATTTTCAAGCCAACAAAACAACCTCTCTTTCTCTCTCAAAAAAGCATTCTCTTCCTCCCCACCAGCCCCACCCCGGTATTACTCAACCCAGAAGGAAATGGAGTAAAACATCTCCATTTGTGAGAAACCTTACTGCAAGGGAGGGACTGAGCCCAACACCAACTATATTTGGAACACAAAGCAAAACCCACCTTTTCGCAAAAGCCTTCCCCCACTGATGAGCCGACATCCTTTCATAGCCAGAGAATGATTAGCATGAAGAAAAAGAAAAAAGAAAAGAAAGTAAAAAGCAAATGAAGTATGAAGGTGGCAATAACAAAATCTTTTTGGTAGATGTTAGCTTTATCCAGTATCTGTACGATTAGAGGTATCTTAACATTCAGAGCATTAGACAGGGCAGAAGATGACTTGCATTAAAGTTCTTATACTGCTTAAGAAGGTGCCGATAGCTGAGAACCTGGAAGAGACAGAATCTGATATCCATTTGAAGAGCTGAAAAATATTAAGAAATTAGAATGCTCAAGACCTGCAAAAATGCATGTTTATTTACAGTAAGTAGGAAGCTTGCTTTCTACAACAGGGAGGACAAACAGTATCAACATTTAAAGCATTTGATCTATAGAGTAGTGAAAACTACCTTCTCATCAGCTAAATGAACTAATAAAATGTAATCTTACAAAAGTCTCTAGGAAAGTTTATTACCTTGGCTGTTAGCTCATCTTCATATGAAATACTACAAAAGCTCATCTTCATATGAAATACTACAAAGTGGTATTATAGAATTTCTTGGAAAGCTGTCAGACCAGTAACAATTGTGATGGCCTCATTCATCTCAGCATTTTAAATTATAGTAAGAAAAAATTGTACTTAGAGCCTATCCCTTACAATATTAATACTTTAAACATTCCACAACATAAGGAACATTTGAGACACTAAACTGCTTCATTACTCTAACTTGGGCACACAACATATAAAGGAGACACGGTAATTTCTGGCTATGCACTCCCCAGCAGCAACCTAATTTATAAAAAAAACTTACCAGGAAACATACAATACCTTTAAAATACAAAAGCAACCCCCCATTCCCCCCACCCAAAACCCCAAAAAACCTTAATTTAAACATGTGAAGACAAATTTCACTGCAGCCCTTCCTAACAATGTGTTGTATTTTATTTCCCACTTATCACATCTTTAGGAAGACACAGACTGCTGAGTACTACTTAGGGCAAGAGAATAAAGGTTAGCCCTAAGGATATTCTCAGAGGCAGTATCTTATTGTGCAGATATATACATGAAACAGCACAAAAGAGCATCTGACAAAGGAATTCTACTGGAAAGTCCAAACACAGATTTTTGGCAAACACCAAGAGGTGCCACAGCAAACACTCAGCCACAACTGTCCATATACCAGTTACTGCTCTAGGAATTCTTATGTCATCATATATTATAAAATATTATTTTCTTGTATTAAAGAATAGGAAGACATCAGGTGAAGATGTTCTATACATGCCCTAGGTTTACTTCCCTCCTACCACTGGCCAAGGCATAAATCAGGACATGGAGCAAGGTGGATTTGTCAGACCCAGCACTCCCATGCCGATGTTTGCATAACCAATTCTTTCATTCCAGCACATGTAATTAAAAGGCAGTTTTCAGCCTAGCTTGCTACATAATCCATCCTAAGGCTGAACAGACATTGTTTCCATCTCATGAAATTTTAAATGCTGTCCTACAAATGAAAATGATATCCAATGTGGTATTAAACTTATCAATCCATGAAGGCAGATTTATTCACTGAAGTGTGCTACAGCCCTACCATTATGGATGCCATGATTGAGTGGAACAACTGAAAGGGTCAGAACTCAGCAAGGGAGACAAACAGACCTTCCAGAAATACATTATAGCTGGTAAAGGCGAGAAAACTAATGTGGATGCTTCCATTGCCAAAAGGTGAAGAACTCACTGTACAATTCTCAGCGTGTCATAATACTCATTCATTTAAGTGGCATGACACTTCATGAAAATGAGTGGCTAGTTTAATTAGGTCATATTTGTCAAATAACCAGTTTAAAAGGAGAACCTGAACGGTAAATACACACAGGCTATACCTCTTGACACACATTCCCAATTCTCCCTAACCTCAGCGGGGAGGGTGAAATAAAGGAAAAAAAAACAGGAGCAGTAGTCAGGACAAGGCAGCTACAGCTCAAAGCACAGCAATGCAACCCCTACACCAAGCAGCCTGATGGAGGCAGAAGGCAAGGGGTCTGACATATGGGAAACTTTTGCTTGGCAGGAGCATTACTACCCAAAGCAACACTTACACGCTCACAATTCTGGCCTCAGATGAGTGGGAAGAGCCAGTGACAACTGTACCACTGCCCTGAAGATCAGAACGTGAGAGCATCGATAGCAAAGCACTACCAGGCTTCACTGAAGGAAGGATGCTCTCCTTTGCAGAAATACAGGGTCTGGCTCAGGAGCGTATAACCACTACAGGCTCTGCTGACATATTTGACATCACTTGGTTCATACTCTATACAGCACATGAAAGAGAGTGAATCTGTAATTCCATGATTAGCACTGAACAACACAACACTGAAGAAATCCTGCTTATATAATCAAAAAGCTAAGTCTGGTGTCAGTTAGAAAAGCTTTTTAAAAGCTCTTTTGTTGCCTCACATTATCAATATCTGACATTCATCATATCCTTCCAGCCAAAAGTTCCCTTACTGCTGATTAAAATGGATATTTATTGACATCAGCCTGAGGAATAATAGCTGAAGAGCCAACCATATTCTACTCTTCATCAACGATACTGCCAGCTAAGTTGTTTCCAGAATCATCACCATCAGTAATTACATACTAAACAGAAAAAAAAACCAAACCCAACCCTCACAGTTGGCTTTCAAAGAACACACTGAGCTTGCAGACAGAGAAGTTTATTTAACCCTGCAGGAACAAATTTTATTCAAAAGTTATTTTTTGTTTATATGTGTATATATACTCATAGACATAGAACACAAGTTGCTGCTTTACAGGCCAAGAATCTTGACCCAAGGGTTTCATCCAGGAGACCAACTTTAAGTGTTACCACAGGTATACTCAGTACCTTTCTGGTTTATGTTTTAAGAGCAGTAAGCGTCTATTCATCATTTGTACTAAACATTTTTAGAGGCAGAAGATCTTCACACTAAGCTGAGCTAACTTTGATGTGCCATGAGTCTAAAAAAGTGACCTTCATTTCTGATCTGGCTGACATCCATTAGGCAGCATTATTTGACTGAGAAGAGGAAGTTGCAGACACATGCTACTTACATATCATATGAAAGGGAGATCTGGAGAGACAAATGCCTCCACTCTTAGAATTCCTTTGACTTGAGTCACCTGAGACATGTAGCCAACAGGAATTGTCCGCTTGCATCAACAAAAATATGTCTTTTGACGAATTAAAATGGGGAATTGAGCAGGTAAGTATATTTAGGTGAGTGGCTAAAAAAGCCTAGGACAACGAATACAAAGTTTAGTGTACTAAACCCTGTATTTCCTCTTGTTTATTTTCTTTCCATAATTTCTGTAGCTGTGTTCTGTTTTTCAGACTGATACTTCTGAAACCATAATTCAAGACACATTCAGCAGCACTAATAAAATACATGAACTAAGTCTGACTTTTTAACAACTACTGGAGCAAGGTCCTGTAGCTTAGTTTTTCTGAGTTACTGAAATCATGTAAACAAGGTAAGGAAGATCGTTGCAGGAGCAGAACACCATTAATTTGTGAAAAGTGTTCACTGTAGTTACGTATCTCTGTAGTTGTGGCAGAATGCAAGTTATCTTAGCCCTAGAGTGCTGTGTTATGACTGGCATAAATCAAACCAAAACAAAAATAGTAAGACTCATTTGTAGCCTTCCCCACCTGAACTGGATATTCCCATCCTCTCCTCTGCGTCAGTATTTGCAGCCACACAGAATGGGGATAAACCCGCTTTTTGGAGGGGTTCATTTCAGTCATATCTGAGCATTGACCAGACTTGTCCTACAGCCCTGCAGTAATCAGTGCTGGCACAAACCACAGGAGGGGAGCCAAGGCTGATGCCCCTAGCAGCTCCCATCAGTTCAAGCTGACAGTAAACCCAAATGATTAAGCAACATGGCACAGCCTACTTAGCAGAGCTGAAGAATGAAACTTCCCACTTCAAAATGCGAATATACTTGCAATGTCACACAAGCTAATCAGGTAATTTTTTGAGAACCAGACCTATCGGGTATCCCAACCAGTAAGAAATGGAAAAAAAGCATTTTCCCAGTCTGTAAAACTTTGAAATTAAAAAAATACATCCCAGATGAATTCCTAAAACATATTTTATTTTTAGTTATCTTGCCACCTTCACCTAATTTATTTCAAACCAGAATACTTATGACAACTGATGAAAACTATGGAAGAATGTAGATGGTCCCTGCAGAAGAAAATCCTACCAGAACTCTTGCCATAGGCATAATTTACTCCTCAGCCCCTTCTTTAAAAGAAAAAAACAAAACCCCAACAAAACCCAAACAGGATTTCAATCTATGGGAGAAAGCATTCCAATTACAGATCTATCTGTAATAGGAGAAGAGTGATAAATAATATATAGAATAATTTAAGATTGCATATTGTCTGCAAAAGCTCTAATGTACTTCATAGCTAATTGCTAATAAACCAAGATGTACCACACTAACCTTCACAGCATCTTAAAAGTAAATTTTTGAACCTAACCCTGACCTTACTATCCTTTTTAACATAAAAAAAAACATATTTCTGCTGCACAGAATCCTTTTGTACAGGCTTGTACAAGCACAGTTACCATCACACTGACATTTTTCAATAGCAAGTTTTTCACATTAGGCATAACCATGGAGGTAAGAGCCCATTTTAGTCTGGCTTTTCCTCAAATTACTTAAATTTTTAATTCAGACTGGCCTGCAGTACAACACATTCTAAACAGTTACCTTTTGCCCTCCCCCAAGAAACCCCAACAACTGTGCATGAACAGGTGTAAATTAAACTGTCCAAAGATTTCTTTTCTATAAAAACCTTAAAAAAGCCTACCAGCCTCCAAACCACCTGTATTTCCCTGTTTCCATCTTCATCTTCATACTCTTCGGGAACTCTTTTTAATGAATATTTGTCCTATTCCCCACAATCTTGTTCCTCCTGCTCCTATTTCTTTGCCACTGGTTGTCCTCCATCCTGCCATATGCCCATTTCTCTGTGCCCAGCATCTTGGATTTCCTACTGTCTATCTTCTTTTCGCATTATGTTTCCACACTCCTCCCTCCTCATCACTAGGAAACAGGTTTACTCCTTCTGCCACCTAAAGATCCTTCTTCTGTGTCTACCTTGTCCCCCGGCTTTGGATAAAGGAGGTTTCTACTGCTTCTGCTGCTTTTTCTCCCACAGGCAGGACATAATTTTGAGCAAGACAGAAAAGATCTGATCCCCTCATTCACTTCTGTCCCCTATGCAGCTGGCAGCCACTGCTACACAAGATGTGGCCAGAGAAGAGCTGCTCTGTCTCTCCAGTGAGAAGCAGCTCATCACAGGCCAACAGCCAGCTTCCAACTGTCCAAGTGTGAAGTTCCTATGATCACAGATCATCTGGGATACCTCTGCTCTCAAAACCAGGTGACTTGGAGCCAAATTTTTTAATCTCAAAGGCACCGAAAGCTTGAGAGCTGAGAGTGGCTTTTGGGGAAAGTCACGGCAACAGTATTTCCACTTCAGCAGTATGCCTCAGTTAGAAGTGGTATACACTGCCTTAAAAAAACCAATCAGGTACTGACAATTAGACCTTCTCTATTCAACAGGAGCTGCCAACCACTGAATGTGGTTAACTGCAAGCACAGACAATGATAGTTTATGCTCACTGTCATTCTGGAGGCTAACTTCATTTTCAAAACTGCAAGTATAGGCATGGATAAACTATGATCAGCATGCTTCAACCAGATTCAACACCAACCAAGCCTTTGTCAGCAGTGGTAACGTTCCAAGCAGAGAGAAGGCACTAAAGGGGTCCACAACCATAGCCCAAATACCTTGGCACCTCTTCAGCCTCCTCTCACTGAAGCTTCAGAGAGTACTATGAATATTAACTAATTAAACTTCTCTTGTGAAAGAGAATCAAGAGCTCAATTTACCTGTCAGCACAATACACCCATTGATCTCTGGGGTGGCAGAACAGTTAACTGAAGTATGAAAATTGTTACATTTGGTATTAAAAAAACAGACCTGGCATTCACAGCTGTAGGGGTAATTCAGAGAGACTAAATGTCAGATTTAAATTTAGTTTTAAGCAAGGATGAAGAGAACATGTTTTGGTGAATTTCTAGATTGCCAGAATATAAGAGACAGCTTCCTGAAGGATATGATACCGTATGGGGAGGGGTTGGCTCAATGGACCGGCTGAGTACTCGGATTAATCACTCCCTGTCAATATCACTAGCTACAGGTATTACTGTGGTCACCAACCCACATTACAGCAACTGAAAAATATGCCTTAATCTAAACCTAAGGCAATTCATCTGCAAGCATGACAATCCATGTATGTTAAATTATAAAGACTACAAAACAGAAGTGTTAGACCAGTATTTTGAAGTGAGAACAATGTGCCTTAAGTGGAAGACATGTAAAAAATCTAACTTCAAGTGCTAGAACACACAGCTTGTGAATAATGTATTTCCTTGAGCACATACTCAGTCTTTCCCCCATTAAGTTATCCAGGGTAGAGTTTGAATTAGAGAACTCTACCTGAATGCTTTCTAAAATGATTTACTGGGTGGCCTCTACACATATACATGGAGCTTGAAAACCTCAGTCAGGTCTGCTTACAGACCAGAACAATTATCCAAATAAACTGTGTATAGTATTTTGTAGTGTATGCTACAACTTCAACTCCTCCCTATGGCATAGGAAGGGCTGCATAGTATTTTAATTATTTTCTTCCACAAGGCAGGAAGCCCATTGAGATTTTACAACCAAATATGCTTAGTTAGCTTTTTACTCAATAGAGCCTTTAGCCTGCAGGTTGCATCTACTGCTAAAACAAATAAAGATCACAGAAGTCTGAAGTGCCTATTATGTCAATAAAATCTAAATCCCTAGTAATGCAGTAATTGTTCCATGCAGCATGTTTCCTAACGCTTTGTCTGGTCTTGTTTTAAACAATGGGGCTACCATCACTTTTCTCAGACTATTTATGGTCAGGAACAATCCAACAGTTTTTCCTGATATTTAACCAAGGTTTCCACTTTTTATGCCAGTCCAAAACATAAGAAGCCCTCGTAAAAAAAGCCTCCTCCATCAAGTTTAGCATCTGCCTCCTAAAGAATATCAGATAAACTCTACAGAAAGCTGAATACAAAGTTCACTGATCGACTCATTTTAGACTACAGTGAGTGACAACTCCCTTCTGTTTATCATTTGGGAACATGTCAGAGCCTATGCAGAAAAATGGTTAGACAGCATACATGGGGATCAAGTAAGTTTTAACTTAAAAGAAATATACGTTCCTATCTGCAGAAAGGGAGTCTCCTACTGAGCTTCGTTTGTGGCTCTCTGCTCATGTGGTAGGACTTTTATTTTTCCCCCTTCCCTTCAGCATGCGACCTGTGTGATTATTAATACTGTGTTTGACTCAATCTTGTGAATAAAGTGTCAATTCCTAAACCCTGGCTTTGTTAAGGAAAAAAAAAAAAAAGGAGAGGGGTGGGGGTAAACAGATCCCCTTGTCTGAAGAATAGTTCCAATAAAGAAACCCTTTTAATATCATCTGAACAGGTGACTAGCCTAACAGCGTCATTATCAGCGAGAACCCTGCAAATTAAGCAGGGAAGAGGCCTATTATCTAGGTCACCTAGCCCACCCTACCAAAGCTGGATTATTACCTTCTGTTTACCAGAGGTTTATTTGGCAGCTTTCAGCAGCAAGTTTGCATATTATAAGACAGCAACCAACCGGGACCCCCCTCCCCACTGCGGATCTTCTCTTCCCGTTACCAACATAACAAATCCGATCCTCGCCACCGAGATACACTCGAATAAAGCCTCAGAGATGGGACACCGGGCTGGGGGAGGGATGCCCGCAAATGCTACTAAATGGGCGAACCGTGCTGTGGGGGAGGGTATTTAAAAATAATTTTAAATAAACCGGTTATTTGGGAACAGCTCAAGCGGCAAGAGGTTAATGTCAGCCCTCGGCAGGGCGATGCCCCTGGCTGGCCGAGTCCCGTCGCCCCCCGGGGAGGGTGCCCGGGCCGGTTCCCCCGAAGCCGGCGGTACTCACGTTCTCGGTGTCGCGCTCGTTCACCGTGGGCAATGGAGTCCGAGTGGACATTTTACTTCACTCGGGCGCCCGCGAAGGCGGCGCGTTCAGACACACACGGGCCCCCAGGGCCGGGCTGCGCGTCTGCTCGGAGATGGTGGTCGCAGAGAGCCACCATGAAGGACGAGGGGGCTGGCGGGGGGCGGCGTCGCGTCGGTGCCCCCCACCCTTTGGCGGCGCCTCACGCCCGAGCTAGATCCTCCTCGGGGAGCGGAGCGGCCTCGCCCTCTCCGAGCTCATCCTACGGCCAGGCCGGGGTCCGCGGGGTCAGCAGAGGGAAGGGGAGCGCCTCATCAACCGGGAAGGGATGGAGCCAGGGGAAGGGAGGCGGCGAGTGCGCGGCAGGGGGAAACGCAGGGCGGGAGGGAAGGAGGAGGCGGCAGGGCTCCGCTGCACAGCCCGGCTTCTGTCGCCGGCCCCTCTACGCTGCGGCCCGGGGCACGGCGGCCAGAGCAGGCCCGCCGCTGAGGGGACTCCCCTCTCCTTCCCCCGCCGCAGCCCCTCTTCACCGGGCAGCCGCTCGCATCCCGGCCCGTCTCTACCCGCCCGCTCCAGTCTCCGAAAGGCCGGCACCCTGCGGGCCGCGGCTGGACTGGGGAAGCTGGGTGCCCGCCTGTTACGCTTGCCTGCCTCCCCCCGCCCCTCCGCCGCTCCCAGACGAGCCAAGATGGCCGCCCGGCTTCCTCCGCGCGAGGCTAGCTCCGACGTGAACCGGAAGGGGCCGCGCCGGGGAGGCCGGCGCCGACGGGTAGCTGCCAGAGGCCGCGCCGGGGCAGGGTGTGGGGCTGGCAGCGGCGGAGCGAGTAGAGTTGTTCTTCGTGTGGCGATCCCTCCCCTAGCGCCGGCCCCCGGGGGTGGGTCGGCGAGACACTTGCCGTCCCCGGGGCTCCGCCTGGCGCTGCTCAGGCATGGCTCGGTTGTCCTTCGCTTCCCAGAGCAGCCTCGGCGCGGCGTGAAGCGGGGGATTAGGGTGCGTAGGGTGTCTCCTACACAGGCCTTGGGGAATGACGAGACCCCTAGTGCGGCCGGGCAGGGAGTGAGGGGAGAAACGGTGTGAGCTGGGGCAGGGAGGTCGGGTGTTGGAGAGCACCGTGGGGCGGAGGGGGTGAAGCCGCTGCGAGCAGTTGGAGAAATGGCAGCATCTGTAGAGAAGGGACACGGGACAGACCCTGCTGCCCGCTCACAGCCAGCAGCAGGAACACTTGCATGGGGCCCACAAACGTGTCTGCTGTACAGCGGTGGTCAGGGTGCGGTGCTGAGGTCGTCTTCTGTCAAAGCATGTCCTCCCTCTTCTTGACTTCACCACCCCAGGGGACGGTGTGTGGTAGAGAAAAGAGCTCACAGGTCGTTCGGGAGCTGGGGCTGGTGTTGGCAGAGCTCACCTGGTGCAGGCAGGCGCCGGTACCCTGTTACAGCACTGCGTTTTCGTAACAGCTGGTTGCTTGTTTGATTTGGTGGAGGAGGGTGGAACCCAGGAGTATCAAAACAGTCTTAATATATCCAGTAGTTACTCTGCACAATCATTTTTAAGTGTAGAAGGAATATGGTATAGGTGTTAAGTAGATCTAGTTAGGAATTAAAAGCAAGAAAGAGAAGTAATTTGTGTATATTCAGTATACAGGTGTTCTAGAAACAAATCTGTATTACAAAGAATATGAACCTCTGTAGGAAAAAAAAATGCTAGAAGTTGTGGGATTTGGAGAAACTTGGCATCTCAGGGGATCTGGCAGCCTAGATCTAGCCTAGAAAGTGAGATAAACTAAACTTTCTAAAGTGTAGTTTATCTGACAAACTTCATGCTTTGAACTCTGTTCTGCAGTGTAAGTAATATTTACCTCGCTTTTAGAGACATGAACAAGGATAGACTTTGAACGCCACCCAATAAATAAGTTCATCTGTTACTTCATCATCAGGACTATAAGATGCTCTGCAACACCTGACTTGAGGAGGAAAACCAATGGACTTGCATGGTGTTTTATCTTCCTTCCTCACTCTCAAATTAAGCTAATGCCTTGCTCTGTGTCAACAACAGGAATTTGGATTTGAATACTCACCTCTTGTGCAAATGAGCCATATTTCTGTGCATACATGCATCTGTCCAGGTGTGCATATGCTCAGGTGGTACATGTGCATAGCGGAGCCACTCTCTCTGAGTAGCAGGCAGGACCCTTTGCATGGAGAAGGGAATGGGATTTGCCTCTATCTGGCTTGCCAAGGTCAATCACAAAGTCTGAAGCAAAGCCAGGAAAAGTATCCAGATCTCCTGGCTCTCTGCTTTTGCCACAGGGCTGCTGCTTCATCTCTTTCTTTTCTGTTGCCAGTAGGATATGTTCTTTACAATGTGTTTGTAAAAAACTGTAATTGACTTATGCTCTCACCCTGAACTAATGAGACCACTCCTGCCAGCATGAGAAGGTTGAACTGCAGACGTTGGAACCGGCTAGCGATGCGCAGCACACCGGGCACAGTAGTGCTGTTTGCACCTATGGGTTTGCCTGTCCCAAGCTCTGGCAAAGCTGAGATCTGTGAAAGTCCTGTGCACAGGTGTGAGGAGGTATTGAAGTAAACTAAGCATTGTGTTACACATATTTGTATTGCTGTTCCATGGAAGCAGCAGTCACTCAGATAGAATCTGGTGGATATTTAGGTAAAAATCCTAGGCTAGTTGATACAATAGGAGTTCCACTATTACCCTCAATAAAGCCCACATTTAATACAGTCCAAATTAAAAGGGGCTGGGAAGGGGTGCAGGCAAAGGGGAATTGTGGGGCAGGAGTGTTTGTGTCTTTTAGAGTCACATTTCTGACTGGCAAAGTGATTTTGAACTAAGAACTTTAGAAGAAATTATTGAGACCACAAAAATAACAGCAGCTGATTTTGCTGCTTTATTGCCAATAAATGGCAATATTGATTAGTGCTGGTTTTTTTCTGTGTAGCAAAGCTTGCACAGGGAATGACAAACTGCATAGAAGCTACTGTCTATTTCTTTGTTGCTATATTCTGTTTCTCCAACTTAAACAGATGAGTTTCAAGTGTATTCATTTTCTTCTTAGAAATTTGGCCATAGTAAAGAAACTGATTGCATAGGTTTCCTGTTTCTTTGTTGCCCATAAATATTCTGCAATGTTATCAGGTGCTACTTAAGCTGCATGCGCAAATTGGAAGGTGATTTTTTCCTATCTAAACACTCTGAATACTCAGAAAACAGTATGATAACAAAATTATGCTTTCTGGTTCTTGTGCTATTGCTAGCGATAGTGATTTTGTAAGTGGGACTTAGATTACGATGTTTGTGTGTTATCCAGAATAGGCTGCAACTTGTGCTTTGAGCTGTACTGGCTACAGTGCTAGCAGCTGTAAAAACTAGTTTTTGCCAGTAGAGTTGGAGAATATGACTCAAAGACACAGGAAGCAGATCTGCTAGTTAAGGTGCCTTTTTATGTCACTGTTTTGGCTGTCACTGCAAACAGTATGATACAAAATGATATCATTGTGGGGAAGAATTTAGATTTTTTTTTTTTTCTTTCTGGACGTGAGAAGTCCAGAATTTCTCTAACACTGCATTGTACAGACAGAGCAGACCCTGACTTCAAGAGCGTTTGCAATCAGAGCAGAAAAATATACTGAAATTGATTACAATTGCTGGACAAACCATAAGTATTGATTTTAATGTATTCTAATGCATGGATTTCTATTCTACTCACCTCACTGTAAAGGCTGGGGACTGAAAGACATCCACTGGTCGAGGCAAGTAGAGAATCAGCTAATGTAATTGTTATAGCTGCCTCTTTGTGCACAGCAGCTATGACGGTATACACCTGCTGGGAATCTGCCCAAATATTAAATCATTTTAGTTTATACAAATATATTACTTTAGACTGATAATTGTTAGCTCTGGTGCAACTTTCTGGTGTTTCTGTAAGCCTTTACTGAACACATTTTAAAATGCGTTACTTCCATAGAGCTGTAACCACTATTTATGCATTATTATTCCAACACCTTACTGTCTTTTTGTTGTAGAAATTCTGTGGTAATCCCAATCAGTGGAAGATTTCCAGGACTGTTTCATCATCAGTGTTGTCTTTAAAACTAATTATTTTGGTTTGAAATCATTTTTTGTATTTGTTTTTAAAATTGCAACTTCTACAGAATACATTATCTTAACAGTGTTTTATAGTAGGAAGAAGTGTGCGATTTTGAAAATGGCAATGGCAAAGCTATTGATAGAAAAGGACTGATTACTGTCTGCAGCCTGAATCAATAGTCCATGCTCAGTTATAATGAGGCCCAAGTGCAACCCACTGTAAGGCCAGGGTGAAATGTGATTTCAATGTCAGAGAAAACAACAGAAAGAGAAAAGGTTTTCCTCCTCGGTTTTGTGTACTGCAGAGACTGAGATCTGAAAGTGGAAGAAAATTTTGTGTGTGTTGACTCCTTCCTTTGATCTGTCCCCATTTAACTTCCAGACTTGCTTTTCCATACAGGAAAAGAGCAAGTCCCCAGGGGCAGCAGGGTGGCTGTGGCGGTGCAATTGCTCTGCATTCCTCATGGATTGGAGAGACTCAGACTCTGGGCTGTGACTGTGAGAAAATAGGAGCAAACAGTGGTGGTTCCTTGTCTGTATGCCTCATTTAATTCCTTATTTGTAAGGCCAGGCACACTGTGCTTTGCCTGCAGAGCCATGTGGCATGGTGCATGGGACATTAACCTTCGTGATGGGAACGCTATCAAGTGCCCAAACTGCACTAAATCCACCACCAGTTGATGCAAATGCCTATGCGAATCATGAGCTCTGGGACAGAATCTGCTCTGGAGAGCCAGCTTAGAGCATTGGTGTCATGGGTTGGCACAAGATCAGTGTTCAGAGAAGTGAGAGAATTGAAAATATCTCCTTAGTTTTATATGAACCTGATGCCTTGTAGGTTACAAAGGACAAGTAGCCAGTTGGTGGTGATGCTAGCTCTGAATTTGACTCCATATGTTTGAAGCTAAAATAAGTGTTTTATAACAAGCCTCATCCATTCCTACTAGTGCGTGACCCTATCAGAGCTGCATCTTAGACATAAATCCTTTTGGATTCTTTGCCATCTAAGCCAGGTATGTTACTGTTCCCCCCACATCATTTCCTGAGTGGTTGGTACTGAATTAAAGACTTGATTCACAAGGATGGGAAAAGAATAGATGACTGTAGCAGACATAATGTTTTTAAGCACAAATTAGTAACTGGCATGCCCAAGAGTTTATAGGAAGTAACTGTTTATAGTGATGAAATAAATTTGTATGGTCTCCAAAGCTTTGGCAGAACCAAGCCCCGAAGTCCCTCTGTGTGAATTTCCCTGACTTGTGTTTGATTTAGATTGTATCTTTCATTTAAATATTACCAGAGGCAAAGAATTTGTGAGCAATCCAGGGAAATTGTCCATGTGATTGTTCCCCATCACTGCTGGAAACTCTTGCTTCTGCTCTGGACAGGCCTGCTAATGACAGCTTCCAGCTATGGCATCTCTCCTGCCTTTGATCAAACTTTTACTCCCAACCAGAAATCAGCTCAGCCCACAGCCATCTCTTTAAGAGACTGAAGAGGCTGAAATCTTGCAGTCTGTCACCGAAAGGCATCCTATTCCAGTTTGTAAGCACTAGTATGCACATTTTCCTTATTTCATCTGCACCTTATCTGTTGGTCAGTGCTGCCTGTGCCAGACATGAACATGGTATTCCAGCTGTAATAACACTAAACCCAAATATAGATGTGATGCAGCTTATTTTGCTGATGCCACATTTAAGAAACTGTTTATCCCTCTCAGATACTATGAAGTCTGGAAACTCAGGTTCAGCTGTGACTCTCTTGCCATTTTCAGTATCTCCGACCCTTCGCCTCTATGCATGTATCCCCTATTCTAAAACTATGCTTTATTATTCCTACAGTATGATTTTTAACTTGGGTCATACTCAAACGTGCATTGCTTACCTGAATGCAATTTTGCCAACTGGTTTGCTCCACACCAGTGGCATGTTCTTTAATTTCCACCTCTTCTCTCTGTCTTGGTGCCATCTGCAGAACTCAGTAGTAATCCTTTTGTTTGTTGATAGTCCTTGATAAAATACCAGTTGGCGCAGATAATGAACTGACTGAGCAGGGTTACAGGAACATTTTTTTTCTGTTAAAAAATTGTTGATAAGTAGATGCCACCTTGAAAATTCACACCGTGCACTAGCCGTCCTAGGGTGGGAAAGGGCTAGAGGGAAAATAAACAACTTGGACCAAACCCAGCTGATTACCAGGGTCTGCCAGCAGGCAAAGGGAAGGGGTGCAAGGACTGAGGGATGGATAAATGATTACAGGGGGACACTGAGCCAAACATCCCAGGGTGACACCCAGGGAGCAGTACCTGCTGCCTGCGGTGCCCAAGCACCCTTCCAGGAACACTGTGGTGCTGTGTCAGGGATGATTAGTTCAACAACCATTTTATATGTGTCACGTTGAGTTTATATTGTTCCGGTTTCTTAATCAACATGTCCTGCTGCAACAAGTTGAAGGCCTTAAAGAAGTCCAGGAGTTTTACATCAGCTTCGTTGCATGTATCACTCGATCTTGTAATCTCCTTGGTGAAAGATAAGTCAGTTTGAAAGGGTCTTTTCCCATAAACTCCTGTTGATTGGCATTAATTATATCTCCCTCCTTTAATTCTTTGTTAATCTAGATCCGTATGAGTCATTCCATTTTACTGCTGGGACTCGTGTCAGGAGACAAGCCTATAAATACTTAGATCTTTCTCTCTACCTTTTCCAAAATCTTTCCCAACATCTGCTTTCCTTCAGAGCTTCCCCACTGCCCAGAAAGTTACTGGGGATCACACACAGCTGTCGTACTGTGCTTGTGCATTGAAAACATCCTTGCTAATCAGCCTGACAAAGCCAACTGCATTATATATGCTACTGAAAAAAGGGGTTTTGAACAATGGATTAGCTCTACAATCATAAACTACCTTTGCAAAATCATGGGAAGAAATATTTCATTTGCATGTTTATTTTGAGTTTCTGTATCACAACCTACACAACTATGCCTACAAAGGGCCTTTTTTAAATGCATGGATGATTTAAAAAAGGGGATTTATAGAAGACCAGCCAGAGGGATGCACAGCAGAGATGGGTTTCATGTACCGTTCCCAGCATGGTGCTACACAGCACCTTTGTTCTAGTGGTAAACTACCTTTTGCCTTCCATTCTCCTCAAACAATGACTGAAACCCAGGAAATGGACAAACAGTGCCATACTTATTACTGTTACTGTAGATGTGTACTAATATAATCACTTTTTGTTTCTTTGTTTCAGAACATCAAGAAGATGACAAATAGATAACATATTTGGGCTTGTTTAATAGCAAAAGATGAGTTGCTGGTTTGAAAATATTTGCTAGAAGGTCAATAGCTTCAAATTGAATTGGAAAAATTCCAGATTAATGCTGTTGCCCCAGTACTGATTAGAATTCACATTGCATAAGACCATAAAAACACTTTTGGAGAGGGAGAGGATGTTTTATCATCTAAGCATAGGGCAGTTTTAAAGATGTGTAGAAGAACAAAATTAATTAGGGGTATTTTAATATTATCAAAATAAAAAGAAGGAATTAGGACTGTATTAATTTAATTTCAAACACATAGGTAATAACCTCAACTCCTGGGTTCGTCTGCATCTGTGTTTATCTGAACAGGTATCTGAAATTGCTGGTGAGCACCAGGTTCCTCCTGGCTGTCTCTGCCTGAGCCTTGCTGGCACTCCCTGCAGGGAGGACATGCACCCAGCTCAGGCTTTGGAGGAACAGGACGTCTTCATCCCAATATAGTAAGGGCACTGTCTCTGCTTCTTCCCAGCCAAGAGTGCCAGTCACAGCTTAGCCTTTTATTCACTGATGACAGTAAACATTTTGGGATTAGGGCTGCGGTCTGTATGAATCACATAGCTTTGTATGACTTGCTAGAAGTGCCCAGCACTATATAAACCTAATAAATGAATAGTCCCTTTTGGCAGTGAAGTCTGTGCATGGTGCAGGTATTCTCTGTTGAGAAAATTCAGCCTGAGGCGTACAGCTGAAGAGTTTTCTCCATGTATCATGGAGTTTCCCTTTGAATAGCTTGCATCAATTGTCTTTCCACATGTTATACAGCATCACATGATTTACAAGAAAATGTCTAACTACAGCTATATGACATTAATTACCATTCATTGCTTTTCTTCCCTTTTGCCCTTCCCTTTTCTAGCATGGTACTTCTCCTGGGACTTGTTGGACCAAAGTCTCTTTTCACTGTTCATAGAAACGCCATTGGAGTGGCCACTGCTGGGAGCAGAGCAGGCAGGCAGCCATAGGAACCCACTTGCCTGGGTTGTGCTGCACTGGGGGCTCTGCACCCCTGCCCTGCCCTCACTGAATACCCACTTTGCCATCTACCTTCTCGCTGGCCTCTTTACTACTCTGGCAACAGAGGGATAAGTCTTGCTGGCAGGATATCCCCTTGCAAATACAGAATCTCATTGAGCTAATCAATAATTCCTGTCATTGCCTAAAGTTGCTAAAAGTAACATTCCCTTCCCCATTTACAGGAGATGCTGAATCTGGAGTTGGTACTATTAACACCTTTAACATTTCTCCCATTAAGATTTTCTGCCCATAAAAGGCTTTTCATAGTTTCTGTTGGTTCTGGTTTTACTTTCTTTCATGGCTACTGAAGCTTGAGCCACCTGGACTTTGAGGGGTCAGCCCTTTAAATTTGTTTTAAAACTCACAGTAATTACAGAGTTTTCAGTCTGATTCTGAAAAGCAAATAATATTGAAGAGAAGCATGGGGGTATGACTTTGGATGCTTTAGGAACCTTTTTCATTTACCCCTTTTTTCAGTAGCAAGATGAAAAAAAAAAAAGAGAGGGGCAAAACACCCATGGAAAAAAGCCACCAATAATTTTTTATATAAAACTTCTCTAAGACATACTGAACAAAGGCAAGGTTCCTCCTTCTGGAAACCAGCAGAATGGAGAGGACTGGGTAGATTTTTAAAGATTCAGTAAATGCTTGCTAATATTTCTCAAAGAGCTTTCACTGAAAGCACTTTACTGTTTCTACATTAGCAGGTGAAATGGTTTCAACCCCAGTAAGCAGGGAGATAGGAGCAGTGCTGTTTCATGCTGCCTTGCCCTGGGAAGGGAAAGGAAGGGTGGCATCAGAGGGGCTGGGACCAAGTGGGCACTGGGAAGCTTCCCAGGGGAGAGGAGGAAGGTAACACACATGTGGGGCACAAAGGAAGATCTGACAGACTGGAAAAACATACGGATCTGAGGGATGGGGAAAGAGCTAGTGGATGGAAAAACATGTAGGCACTAACTCTGGGAGAATTTTCCTTTTCAGTAAACCTGCTCCTCTCAAAAGGAGGAGCGAACTGAGAGGCCATATTAGGTCCCATGCTGCATATAGTCCTGGATGGTTTGAGTTCTTGTTTCCTAATACTACCTGGCTTCAGTGAATATTGCAGTTGGTTACTGAGGGGATGAGCCCCTGTGACACCCTTTAAGAGAAGGAAAACTGTTCTGCCTCCTTATGTGAAGCAGATGACTTGCTTTGGCACTTGTCCCCAAGGGACATTGCTGAAGGTCTGAAGCGTCACCTCTCAGAACCACCTGAGAGCAAGCCTGGCTCACCTGGGGCTGAAGTCTGACTGCAGTGAATTGAGTGGGGATGTTTGGAGGACGTTAAAGGGCTCCTTTAGTGGGTCTGCTCGTTAAATGAAGACGTGTTGTTTCCATAGGTCTGTGATTGCTCCATGTTTGCCATCCGCTGCCATGTCCCATCACCCCCTCTATGGCATTGTGCCCTTGGACTTCAGGATATCTCCCAGGGCTTTTTAGGAAGACCAAGCACAGACTGGGAGAGGACTTGGGAAATGCACTCTGTCCTCAGCAGGTAGCAGTGTGGGGCAAGCACAGCCAATGCACCTCAGCAGTACTGACAAATGCTGTGTAAGCATCCATACATTCACACCCATATGTTTATGTCTGTCTGCGTGTGCATGCATATAAACAGGAAACCACCTTCTGCTCCTTTCATAACAGACCCTTCTGGATTCTCTAAGTGTGATGCGCACTCCCCTTGGGAATCCATGGAGGCTGTAATGTATAACAGAGAAGGATTTATCATGATCTCTGATGTGAACCTAGGGAAAAGACTAGTACTGTTTTCTAAGTAGTGCATTGGGTTTGGGTTCAGCTATGTTGCTTTTAATATTTTATGTATGTGAATGTGATGTACTGTAATGAAAACGCTCTTGTATCTTTTTCTAGGAAGTGCATCTTTCAAAACAAGGAACTATGTCAAATGATGGAGAGGAGCTTTAGGTCTGGAAGGCACAAGAAAATGCATAAAAGATGAAGTCCTATTTATGTTTCTCGCATGCATGAAAAAAAAACCCAGTCAAAAACCAACCCACCTACATTAAAGAAATGCTATTCAAGCTACAAAGTAAAGCAGCCAGCATGTGGTTTCTCTGTACTTGCACATTAGGATCCAGGCTTTAATTACAGAACTGCACACTGCCTTTCCAGAAGCTCTGGCATACAGGACCTGCTTCTGTAAGGGGACACAGAGCTGTGCGTGGGAGAGGAATCCCCTTTGCTTTGCCACTGGAGGTGGAGGGACTGCAAAACTCGTGGATGCTGAAGTCCAAGGGAATTGTGTGCAATCAGCTGTAAAGGCAGCATGGAGCCCACATGCTGGCCAATGTGGAGGAGAGAAAGTCATGGAGCTGTTAGCAGGACTGTGCTGTGTGGTTAGCTGGGTTAGAGCAGGTACCTCTACCAGGAACAATATAAATGCATTAGCGCAGTAGAGCAGGCTAATTTTCCCTAAGCTCAGCAGTTAAACTCCTTTAGGGCTCGCACAGGGCTGCTTCAGGTATGTTTCCAAGCAGGATTTTAGCTTAGCTGTTGTTCTGCAGGTGGGAACCGTCCATTTTGTGTGTGGAGGTGAGCCTGGCTGGGAAGCCTTGAGGAAACAGTGAAAGGAGGAACATGCAGAGGCAGCCTTCCTGTGGCGTCTTTTAAACCGGCAGCTCTGTAACCTCAGCTTTCTGAAGGTCACTTGCACCGGTGTTTACCTCTGCATGGGCACTCCTGGGTCGCAGGACACACACTGGAGGTTCCTAGCAGGCCCACCGTGCTTTGGTGATGGGGCCAGCAGCAGAGCCAGAGTGCCAAGGCCTCCAGGCAAAAGTGTGATGGGATCTAACAGAGTGTTCGTCACTGTGGAAGGCTACCATCCACAGTGTGCCAACTGACATGAGGTGCAGGACCAGAAGGTTCAAGCTGATGACAGAGGAGAAATGCAGATGAGAATATTTTTGTTCATCCAAGGCATTGAAGGGACAGGTCCTAATGGGGAGAGGGACTCCTCTTTTCTCCTTTTGTCCTCTGAGGTCCATCTCTTCCTCTCCCACAGCTCCTTATTCCAGCTTGTCCCTCCTCATCTATCTCACCCCTACATCAGACTTTCCCCCTCCTATTCCCTCTGGATACCCACATCTGTATGTCCATCCCAGAGCTTTCCCAAGAGGTCAAACACAAAACATGTAATTCCCCAGCCCCACCCTCGCCCGGGCTTTCCCAGCACGGCAGCCAGCCAGCGCGTCGGGGGCCAGCCCGGGATAGAGATTGGAGCCTGGCAAAGCACAAGTGTCTGAGACAGGTTGTACAGTGAGAAGCCAGGGCTGTGTGACAGCAGGCAGCGCTGCCAGCCTGCAGAGACATCCTGTGCCCGAGCAGCCCACGGGGCGGGCAAAGGCAGGGCATGTTCCTGCAGACTCCATTCGCAGCGGCTGTGTGGTTGTAGCCATCAGAACACAACTTGTGGATCAGTCTGCCTTATTAATCTGGGAAAATAACTGGCTTGCTTTCCATGGGCGTCCTGCAGCGTCGCCAGCGCCGGGCTGCGTGGTGAGCCACTTCTGGGAACCGACTGCACCGAGGAGCAGGCACTTCTGCTGGAGCCAGTGTCTTCTGCTTTACACCAGGCAAGGGTCTGGCTCTGAAATGTGTTTCAGTTGCCCTCTTTCCTGTGAAGCTGAATGCTTGCATGGTCTTGTGGGCTTGTAAGCATCTAATAACTTAATAGCAAGTCACATTAATTCATCTTTTTGCTCTGCTTTTACTCATTAGAAAGATGGAAGTAATTTTTAAAAATAAAGCATGGCATATGCCACATGTGGGAAGTGGTGATTTCTAGCTGTGGACTGAGGGGGCAAAACTGTATAATGTATAACTGTATCATAAATAATAAGTCTGATGTCTGCATTACTGTGATTTTACACTAGTCTAAAAGTGGAGTCGTGAAGCCGAGACTCAGCCCCAATATGTTATCACTCCATTGCAGAGCTACTAAACGTTGGGAACCAGATCCTTGCTGAGCAAGAGGAGTTTCATTAACTTTATCCTTCAGTTGAGCTAATGAGCCAGGCTACAAATCCTCTGCATGATTCAAACCCAGTACTTCTACACCAGAAGGTAGGCTGGGGTAGGTGTGGAGTCCTGGACAGAAATCAAGGGCTGGCAAGATGTCAGGGAAATATCTGCTCATCTGGTCTGCCTTCAGTGCAGCTACCCTGACTTGTCCCAACTGATGTGCTGGCCCTGAAGTCACAAGGCAGCACCCAAACCTGCAGCATGCTGTTCAGTGCTTCTGATTTCTTTGGGAGACATGAGTGGTAGGCAGGATGAGGTCCAAACCTCCTTGGGAGTGCGGGTTCAGAGGAGCAGACATTTGCTGCTGACTTGCCAACGCTTAGTCTTCCTCCAGCATTCCCACATCTACAGCAGATCTGCTGCCTTGGGGAGCTGAGATGTTTGAGCTCCATTTGTGGCACATGCATTGAAATGCAGAATACAGGCAGGGAGATAAACCAACCCAACCCAAGCCACACCACAGCAACAGAAAAAGCCAAGGTGCAGCTGCCCAGGTGGACTTGTGTCCTTCCAGCAGCTGCAGACTGTGAATGAAGAAGGAAGATGAGGCCAGCGTGAGGTCCTCTCTGCCCTGCTGGCCCCTGCCATGCTCTGTGCTGCTGGTGGTGCTGCAGCAGGAGACGGTGAAATGTGGCTGACTGGACACAGCTGCAAGGGGCCCGAGGCAGGCTCCCCCCCCATACACAGGCACACACAATCCGCTTTGCAGCGTCGTGCACAGAGGCAGAGCCACGTGCCATTTGTCCCTATGGGTTTATCCGTCCTGACCCCCTTGGGCTGCTCTATCTCCACTCCAGTGCTGGGAACAATGCCCTGCTCCCCATGCTGCTGCTGCCCATGGGTGCCTGCACCTCTTGCTGATGCAAGGTGGGCTGCCTCTTACCCTGCACATCTGCTGTGAGCTCCAAGAGCTCCACAAAGGTCTGATCCTCCTTTTCTGCCAGGGAGACAGCTGGTATCTCCACTGCCGGCAGCAAAGTCCTTCTTGATGTTTCCCTGCTTAAATAAGAGAAAACTCAGGCTCCATCACCGCCAGAGAAAGGCTTCCTGCCCAAGGGAAAAAGATATCCCCTTTCCTCTCTTCCTACCATAAGCCCTTTCATTACAAGCAGTAGTAGACCGTTCACTACAAGCACACAATGGAGGAAACCACAGGTTTGGATGCCAACCAGAGATTTTCTAGTCCAGT